GGATCTAGAAGGTTCACAGAGGGAAAGCTTACGAAGTAGAAGCCATTTTGATTTGATATCAGGAGCTGAGGAAAGGGCTTCGTGAAAGTAGTTCGCTTTCGCTTGTCGGATCCTTGTCTGTGTCGTGTTACGAAGCACTCTGAATATTTGATAATCATCTGCAAGCCTAGTCCGTCTGAAGCGTCTGCGTGCAGCGTCGCGTCTCTTCTGCAGATCCTTAATTTCATGACACATCCAAGGAGCAGGACGATGACGGAAAGTGGAGGTTTTCAGAGGAGCGTGGGTATTGAGTATATTGAGAAGATTGGTGGTGAGAATATCAACCATGGTGTCGATAGAGGAGCAATGATATATTCCATTCAAATCCAATGTTACTAGATCAGGTAATATTTTTTCTCGAGTAAGGGTATCCAGTTGGCGGAAAGTGATAGTTCGAGGATGGATTGGAGGAGTGCGGATATTATACGTTATTTGTATCAGATCATGAGATGAAAGAAAGGATACTGGCAATTGAGAGGCGGAGAGGAGGTTTTGTGCTGAGTCGATGATGTAGTAGTCTAGCCAAGTGTCAGATCTGGTGGTGTGGTGGGTGGAGGAAAAAGGAACGATGAATAGGTGAAGTGAGAAAAACAGATTTTCTAAATAGGATTTGTCATTGGAGTTTGAGAGGAAATTGGTATTGAGGTCACCGGAGATAATTATTCTGGGATAGAGGGGAACGAAGTTGAATAGAGTTGATTCGAAGGACGGGTCAAATGGCACGAGAGGAGGGCGATATACCACGGCGTAAAGGATAGGAGAAATATTACTGAGAATTTCTACTAAGAGGTATTCTACATGAGGATGATCGGAAGATGGGGAGCAATCGAGGATTCGAGTCTTTAGGCTATTGTGGACAAACATGGCTACTCCACCGCCAGTCCGGTTTACCCGGTCATGACGGAGTAGGATGTAATCAGGCAAGGAGACTGAAGATGATGGAATATAAGGTTTGAGCCAGGTTTCGGATATTGCTATGATATGATAAAAGTTTTGGGTAAAGTATTGCAGGAATTCGTCATAATGGGCAGAAAGTGATTGAGAGTTAACTTGACATGTGATTAGGGAACTAGACATACAGTGGATTTGGAGAGAAACAGTCAGTGTTTGGTAGCGAGAAGACAAAACGAGTAGAAAGTACAGAAAAGCGATTATCGTACATGAAACTAAGTGAAGAAAAAGTAATATTAACATTAAAAATAAATAAAGAGAATGTACTTGAAAATAAATAGATTGATGAGTGACGGTATAGAGATAGCAGTAAGAGAAGAAGTAAGACTATTTTAATGAGGCTAAGGGGTTGACGGCTTCTAGGTAGTCAGTCAAATACATCTAGATCCGAGGCCTGTTCAATCAGGATGACTCTATGTCCGTCCTCTTTTCGACACCGCACCTTTCCGGAAGCAAACCACGTATATTTGATTTTTCCCGCCGCTCTCTTCTGGCGGGCTAGCCAATAGAGGTGTCTGTTTGTGCGAGTCATCTCTTCACCCAGATAAATTCTGTGGCAGTCATTTTCCTGCCAACCGATATCCCGCGTGGAGAAATCCCTCTTCACTTTCCTTTTCGTAATTAGATCATCTCTAATTGATTGCCTGACAAAGCGTGCGATAACAGGCGGTGGTCGCGAGTCATCTTTTCGGCTTCTGCGGCGATGTACGTTGTCCAGGTCCTCCACACTAAGCCTGATCCCCAAGCTTGCTCCTATACTGGTCACCAAAGCAGCGGGCGTTTCGCCCGGTCGCTCCGGTATACCGCGGATCTCCAGTGATCTACTCAATAGTCCTTGCTCTGCGTTATTCAAGCGAACCTCTAATTCGCCCACTCGGGATTTGAGTGCTTTGTTTTCTAATAGTATCTCCTCAAACTTTTTAGCTTGACCTTCCAGATGTTTTTCAATCTTCGTCAGTCTTTCGTTTAGTTCAAAACTGAGCTCTCCGTATTTATCTAGTGCTGTTTTCATGTTTTTTATATCTTCGTTCACGGTAGCGTCTAAACGATTTACTGCCGCAAGTATTTCTGAGGGGGACGGCTCGGTATTTTGTTTTTTCACCTGTTCGCAGTTAGAGCAAACCCATGTTTTTTTAATTATTTTTAATGCTTCGGTGTCTTTATCATTAAGGTTGACGCACCTACCTTAATTGCCAGAGAAGACATGCTTATATTTAGCCTGAGATAGGACATACATACTGGATCAGTGAAGAGGATACGAAATACCCTTAATCGCGAACACTTGAACTCAAATTTTTTTTATCACATTTTAAAATTAAATTAAATTAAAATATGTTGTCTTCCTGTACATAAATGTTTATTCTTTCTTATAACCGGTTTCGTTCCTTCGGAGACCCTCCTCTCGGCTTGTCAATTTCGACCTGGATAGCCAAACAGAAGTGGAAGACCGTCATAAATAAGCCCGACGAAGGACCGAAACAATAAAGAATAAACAACTATATACAGAAATACAACCTCTTTTCATTGAATTTGATTTTACTTCTGCAATATCGATCCTCAATTCAAGATTTTTTAAATTATTTTTATTTTATTATTATTTAGAGTTTTTAGTTGAGAGTGTGGTGTTTTTAAACTTTCAGCAGCATATCTAAATATATTACATTCTGTGAGTTTGCTTTGAAAATGTTGAACAAAAGCAATTGACAACGTTTTATACTATTACCAACAAACAATTTTTTTTTCTTCCATCATAGTTTCCAAGCCTCTCCGTGTTCTCCAATACCCAGAAAATAGAGGATTTTATTTTATAAATTTTTTTACGTACTTCATGATTCTGATTTGTCATCTAGGTTTTGTTTTGTTTGGTAGATGTAAGAGCCCGAAGGTAATGGTGTACTAATATGTGTAAAACTTTTCAAGAAATCGACCACCCAAGGTTTCTCTAAGAGGTGAAACTGACGTGAGGCTTTTAATATATTTAATTAAGGGGAGTTGTTGAGGGAGTTGAGAGTGACTGGCAGAGGGAAGGAGTGAAGTTGGAGTTGAAGTTGGCTCCTGGAGATAGGACAATTAGCCTGCCGTCGGCACCAAAACATCCACTCGTCGGTAATTGCCACTCCACTCGTCTAAAAATTAGATTTAAATCACGCAGCTCCATCTACTGCCTTTCCTCTCTTAAAAGCTTCAATTCATAACCTTAAAATTTCAATTTCCCCAACCCTATTTATTTAAAAAATATTGTTAAGATGTTATAGGAAGATTTTGATAAACAAGAATCTTCAAGACTCAAATTCCAGTTAACCGTTCGTTAATTCAGGCATCATCAGGACGGATAAATATAAGATTACTTAAATTAAGAGCAGAGACCGTACATCTGATATCAATTGGCTAGTTGGAATATCCAAATTGAGATATTAAGAATAGAAAAAAAAACAACGCTAAAGTGTGTGCTTTAGACCACGCGATAGAAGTGAAAACATCAACAAGGCCAGATTAATAATATGAAAAATACTAGCTCATTATAAAAGGATGCAATGCACAATTCCCTCGGTTACAGGAATACTGGTCTGGTTTTTAGTTTCTGAGCTATTTTAATCTATATCTTCGATAAAACTCGTTATCATTTGGTTTTCGACTTTATTTTTCCTCCCTAACATGGTATCGGATTAAAATACAATTTTTAATAACAATCCATTAGAGAGAGGATGAAATGATGAACATATCCCTTACTGACAATTTGAAGGTCCGACTTTTAGTTTTTGAGATATTTTAATCTTGAGATCCTTGTCCTTGGGACAGATTGTAATATTTTGCAATAAATAAGTTAAAAAAAGAAGAAAAAAATCTAGATGTGGCATATCTAGAATCAAGCAGATCCCAAACGCAGCAATTAGAGACAAGATCGGATGTCAAAAGAACATCCTTCACCTGATCGGGACCAAAAGGTTAAAGTGGTATAAGTGGCCATACCACTTTAACCTTTTGGTCCAATGCAGATGGATGAGAACCGCTGGCCAAAGAAAATTTATAACTATATGCCACCTGAAAGATGGAAGCGAGGAAGGCCAAAGAAGAAATGGATAGAGGACGTGGCAGCCAGAGGGCTCCTTGAATGGCATTGGATTGACAGAGAGCAGTGGATTTTGAGTGTTGGGAACATGACTTTCTATAAAACACGCCTAAAAAAGTTTTCACTTTAACAATTTCATTTCGGGACAAGCGTTTTTGGAATACTTTAATTTTAAGATTATTTTCTCCTTGACACTGCTGTGCGATGTGCACACAGCTTTTTTGTCAAGAACTGGCCCTCCACTATTTTTCGCCACTACTTTCTATTCAGTACCTTTCTTCGGCATTGTCTTATTCCTAGACTACGGAGGATGCAGGTTTATGGACGCTGTTTCAGGATCTGAGTTAGAAGACAGGATCGCAGTGTCATCAGCGAAAGTTGCCAGGAGTGTATCGGGATGGACGGGAATGTCAGCTGTATAGATGATGTAACTTTTTATATGCGCTGTACATCTAAAAATAATTAATTACACAACCTTTTACATAGTAAACACCTTTCTTTGGTACGATTTGACTGGGATAGAGGAATGTTGAGAAGATCTCGAATGTCGAACAGTCAAAATACTATGTATAAAACTATAAAAGAAATAAAACCACTCAGCAACAATCTGAGCAGAAAAAAAAAACATTAAAAGAACTTTTACCATCCTCGAGTTTGAATAGCATTTGTCAGATGGTTCCTGAATTAAAGGTGATTTTTTGAATCATACAAAAAACTTCCTTCCACCTCCTTCACAGTTCAACCTTTAATTTGCATTTCTGACATGTTTTATCCGAGCTCGAAATTGGCTTTTTCACTCATTAATGGAAGCCCTTAAACATGACTTAAACTGATGATCTCGAAATGAATTATTTAATAAATATGGTTTACCCTAGCCATTATAAGAAGTAAAATATAATTACAATTGAAGATGAAGGTACGAAATGAGACTGTTATGTTTCTTTTTTCTTATTTTGAAAGTATAATATACATAACTAATGACCAATAACTCATTTTAAATAATAACAGCTTTATTTATCATTCATATACTGTAGATATGTAGAGCGAGGATAATCAAAATGATTTAATCTTCATTCATAAAGTTCGGGAATCAAACCTGTACATCTCTGAACGACGTTCTTGTACTCTGTGCACTCATCACCTATAAATAAAAATAAAATCAGCTATAAGCGAAAAAAAAATACGTTACATAAACGTTTTATTCTCGACTTACTGTCCGTCCATGCATCCTTTGGGCAGTTCTAAAAGAAAAATAATTATGTATTTAATTCAGATAATAATAACAACTACTGTAACTATTATTAAGAACAAATATAGTTTATATTGGTAAGTCTGTGTTTATTTACTTTCCTACCTATACTAGGTAAGGAAAGTATTGCAATCGGGTCAAATTTCCGATAAGCGGTTTTCGACGGAACTATACGTTTCAGAGCCCCGTGAGTCCAAAAAACAAAACTTTAGCCATTGGTCTGTCTGTCTGTCTTTGCCAAGATTTTCTCGGGAACTGCTGAACCGATTTTGTTGCTTCTTTTTTTATTTTGTAGGGTTTTGACTACTGATGCCTTTGACAGAAATTTAGTGCTCCGTGCGCAATTGGCTTGCGTGCAATAAATGAAAAGTATGTTTTTCTATAGACTGTAGCGCGAAAACGGCTCTAACGACTTCGATGAAACTTTCCTATAATGTTCTAATCATTGTCCTTTCAATTTTCGTATATAGACTAGATTGATAAAAAAAATCAGGAAAAAAAGTTATAAAGAAAAGCAAAATGATATGGGGCCTAACTCCCTAAGTATATATCATACGGTAAAATTTATAATAGAACTGTTGAAAGGTAATTAAATTACCAGAAAAACAAAAAAAAAATCATCGGAACCGAACCAGTATTAGCTATGGTACAGCTTATTCTATTTTTTATACATTTTTTAACTTATTACTTTCCTACCTACACTAGGTAAGTAAAGTATTGCAATCGGCCAGACAGACAGACCAATGACTAAAAATATGTTTTTCGGACTCAGGGGGCTCTGACTGAACATATAGTTCCGTCGAAAACCGCATTTCGGGAAATTTGACCCGATTGCAATACTTTCCTTACCTAGTATAGGTAGGAAAGTTCGTGTGACGTAAAATGGTATTTTTTTAGCGTGTAGTGTGGACTTCTGATGTCACTGAATATGATTGCAAAAGTAAGAAGAACTCCACAAATCAGAAAGAAAACTATGCATCTAAAAACTGCAAAAATATGAAAGCTGTAACTAGTGTTGCCCAAAATTGGTCTTGGTCTTACACTTTGCAAGACCAAGACCAAGGCCGGCTGACTGTTGCAAGACCAAGACCAGGACTGTTAAAAAAAATCGATGTTTTTAATAAAAAATTAAGGCAAAATAGTTACTAATACTCGACAATCTTAGTTACTATGTGTAAATAATTGGTATAACTAATATAGTTTTGCATTTAATTCCTCTAATTTTTCATTCAGGCTTAGTTAGGTTTCTCCTATCTACAAAATACAGTACTGTAAGATTGTTGCGAGACTCCTGTGCAAGACCAAGACCATGACCAAACTGAGTTTGCAAGACCAAGACTCGTCTGGGTATCGCATTTGGGCAACACTAGCTGTAACGAGGGAAATGCGAGAAAATGTTTCTATTGTTAAATTTATAATCATTTTTATCATCTGTATAAAATTAAATCAGTTTTCTTTTCATAATTCGGGAAAAATCATTTCAGAGGTTACATTTTTGTTGGTATGTTACAGAAAAAATACTAAATCTAGAAGCTTGGCAATATTTTTAAATATACTATTTTGTAATAGAAAATATAGACGCAAACTACGGAGGGGAGGGGACTATGGAAGATCGTCCTCCCCAATGAGGGGATAGGGAATATCATTTCGCCTCCCCTCCCCAATAACATGAGGCAAAACAAATTAAAATAAATAATAAATAAGCTAAATGAATGAATAAACTGTTTTTTTTTTTTTTACTTTTATTATGATATTTACAACTGTATTAGTATGAATACATCAAGTAAATGTGTACAGCGGAATATTATCACATGAAACACGCTTGTTGAAAAACTACCCATTGGTAGCACTCTAATAATTTGTCTACATGAGGAGATCACGAGGCCATCTTCTTTTCAGACTCCTCGGAGGGTTATCAGGAATCGAAGAGGAAGAGCAAGCTTAGAAACAAGAGGATTCGGATGGTTATGAAGTTTATTATGGAAAGATAGGTATCTGGATTTGGCCAAATCCGAAACATATGGAACATTGAGGTCTTTATGGATTATTTTATTTGGGACAAAGTAAGGAGCATTGAGGATTTTACGAAGGATTTGGGATTGTAAAGATTGGATACGAGAGGAATTTGATGGTTTAGTGGAGCCCCATAGCTCAACTCTATAAGTCCAAATAGGTCTTATTATAGTCATGTATAAGAGTCGTTTGTAATTAATTGGAAGTTTAGAGCGTTTGTCCAGTAAGTGTTGGAGTAAGCGGAAACGTCGAGCAGTTTCTTGTCGTTTCAGTCTTGTATGATGATTCCAAGTGAGACGTTTGTCCAGCTAGAGTCCTAGGTATCGGATTTGTTCTACAGGTATAAGTGGGGTGTTATTAAAGGATACTATAGGACAGCAAGGCATTGGTTTACGACGAAGGGTAAAGGTGATTTGATGGGATTTATTGGAATTTATTTTAATCCTCCAGTTTTGACACCATTCTTCAAGTTTTGTGATGTGTGATTGAAGAGTTTGGGATGCAATTGTTGGATCATTATTAACTGACAGGATACATGTGTCATCAGCATACGTAGTGATGACATTGTTAGGATGGATTGGGATATCAGCTGTATAAACGAGTTTTGTTGAAACCGAAATGTTGAAACCGAACTCGATTAAAACTTGATAAAGTCGACTAACTAGCCAGGCTAGAGCTCAGTGGCAGGTATGTAACAAGTTTATTGTATACCTAAATGTTACTTTTATTTAAATTGTCATTCATATTCAATGATAATATACAGGATTTCCTTTAGTAGAAAAATATTCAAACATGTAATAGCAGACCTATAGAGCCATCAAAAACTTATAACATATAAACAATAGTCCGGCAGAACAGTAGGCAATTTAAAAAAAGAAAATTTAAGTAAGTCATGGTTTTTGATGAGTAGGGAAGCGATAACTAAAATATAAGTTACTAGTAGATGTACCCATCGTTGACGGGTGTAGAGTTAAAATTTCAGAATCTATTTTGAGATGAATTTAGTGTTATGTGGGAGAAGGGTCCAAATTCAATTTCATAAAATTGGGTCGGGAGGGAGGAGAGGGGTTGTTTTAAAATCTTTTATGGCGGGGCTTATGGAAGTCAAAGTTTCACAAAAACTTTGTTATTCGGCTATTTGTTTAGGTACTACACAACTAAACCGACCGCCACCGATCCATTAAAATGTGTTAAGTGTTTAATTTTCATTTGTGATGAAGCGGATTGTTGAGTCGATTAATAAATCAAAAAGAGTTGTAGTCTCTCCTCTTCTTTAAACTCTGCTCAGATTACCACTAGCAAAATAACCAAAATAGCATTGGACGTTGAGTCACCTACATCCGTGTAAAATTAGAACTTGATTTGAATATTGTGGCGGGCGGGATGAAATTTTTGAAGTTTTTTTTTCCGGCTAATCCGTTTGGTTAATCCTAAAAATGTATACGACAACATTTGTTAGGCTCGGGAAGTTTAATCGAATGACCCCCCCTTGAACGGGAAGATTAGACAAAGTTGAAAAATGAATGTGTTTTACCCGTTTTATGTGACAACGCGTGACAGATGTTCGGTATTCCAGATGTTTTTCTTAATTATTTTTGTAATAATTTTTTCCATCAATTGAATAGTACATCTTTTAAATGTGGCTCGCGGTAGAGTAGGTTGGGATTATAATAGAAGTAACTACTTCACCGGGATCTCTAAACAAATTACAAACAAATGAATTCATCACTTTGGTTCTACTCAATATTTTGTTTTCATTTAAAGCCTATATTTTAAGTCAAGCAAACCTAAAGGTAATGCCAACATTTCAAAAGTCTATCATAAGGCATTGGCGAGCTTACCTCTAACAAAATTTCGTTGGACAATGCGGACAATACAAACAAAAATTTTTTTAAAAGTGGATTTGATGTCTGCAATGTGTAAAACGGAAGGATATCATAAAACGGGTTGATTCTATTCAATGTACAGACAAAATCTTTATTTTATTTATATAGATTATAATTAATTAACAATTGGTTCGCTGTTAACTAGACAAAATTTGATTCAAATGAAAGTAGAGTTTGTTATTTTTTAAATTATTTAAAGAGGAGTTTTGAACGAATAAACTAAGCTATGTTGTGATTAAAGGAATCATGAATTATTCACGATTTTAATTTATCACCATCTAACTATACCATTGACATCCCACTTTGAGTAAAACTTTCTTGTTTAATAAGCTCTTGTTTAATAAGCCCTCATTAATTAACTTGTGGGTTTATTAGATTTATTATGGGTTCTTAAAAAAGTTGAGATTCACCTCAAGTTGTATAAAAAAATTAGGTGTTTTTAACAAAACAATAAATTACTGCAAAGCTTTAATTTTTTTCCTGATGTATTATCATAAACATAAATTAATAAATATAGTTTTATTTATTACAATAAAAATAATAATTTTCGAATATTTATCATTAATCTTTTAGTGATAAATAAAACAGAGTTTTTTCTTTTAAGATCTCTATTTTAGAAATTGGTCCGTATTTATAAGTGACCTTTTAAACGTTTCCAATCCTAATATCTATGTGCAAAATAAAGAAGCATGTTGATTGGTTAAATTATTTCCATCAAAATTACTTTCACGTGATAATCACATTTTACGCGGCGGACTATTCTGACTGTGAAGAAAGTTGTATTTTTGTTTTGAGGTTGTACATACTAATAAATCAAAAATATTTTTGAAAAAAACTTTTTCACATCATTCATATTTAGCTGAAAATGTTCTAGACATGTGCCAATCTTATTTTTCTTCCCACCCCGTGTTTAATAAAAACAAATACGTTATATATTCAATTGTATTTTTAAAAAAATATTTTCAACTATATATTGTAAGTAAAACGAAAAAATCCTTATAACTAAACAAAAATATAAACAAATAAATTTTAAATATTCAATATTTGTACATTTCATAATAATTATGTTGAATTTTCACACATAATAAAAATTAACGCCATTTTTTTTTTTGTTAGTCCATTGTCCCCTCGCCACCCTCTCAATCAAATGCGAAAGCCTGCGCCTAGGATAGAAAAACGACCATGCTGCCAACTTTCCAGTTTGTCCGGTGACTGAAAATTAAAAATGATGTCGAGTAAATATTCGGAATGTTTCATATATAGCATTTCCAAGTCAATTTCAACCTTTTCCAAATCAAATTCAACCTTTTCCAAGTCAAATTAAACCTTTTCCATTTCAAATTAAACTTTTTCCAAGTCAAATTCAACCTTTTCCATTTCAAATTCAACTTTCGATTTTTTGTCAATTTTCGATTTTTTTCGAAATGAAGGCCACTTACTATATTATCGAAGGCATAGCTTTTAAAAAATACAAAAAAAAAATTGATTACGCAGTTGCATATCCATTTATTTTAACATTTTAGATTTTTTCAGTGTGATATTTCTGTGTGATATTCAATTATTTCCAAGTCAAATTCAACCTTTTCCAAGTCAAATTCAACCTTTTCCAGATCAAATTAAACTTTTTCCAAGTCAATTCAACCATTTCCATTTCAAATTAAACCTTTTCCAATTCAAATTCAACCGTTTTCATTTCAAATTAATGTTTTAAGTTTTTGTAAATTTTATATATTTTTTTAAATAATGTCCATCCCCTCCCCCCCTCCAATATGAAAGTCTATTATTATGCTCTCCTAAGTAGAATTTTCACTTACGGATATCGATTTATTGTACCTATTCGGATTTCTTAGGGACTAATATTATGCTGTCCTGTACCTAGTTTTGAAAATAACCTCCATTTTAAGATTACGTGACTGCGTTTCGAATCATTTAAGTTTTTTTGACAAATTCGATATGTGGGTGTATTTTTATGTTTCCCGATCAGTAAATTTTGAAAATGACATCCATTATATGTTTACGCCACTGTGTTTTGACTTATTTAAGTTTTTAGAATTTATCCAATATAAAGGTCTACTTTTTTGTTTCCGGAGCCGTAGATTTTGAAAACGACCTCCATTTTAAGATTAGGCCACCGCGTTTCGACTTATTTAAGTTTTTCGGATATTTTTCATATGAGGGTGTATTTTTATGTATCCGGAGCTGTAGATTTTGAAAATGACCTCCATTTTAAGATTAAACCACCACGTTTCGACATATTTGAGTTTTTCGGATATTTTTCATATGAGGGTGTATTTTTATGTATCCGGAGCTGTAGATTTTGAAAATGACCTCCATTTTAAGATTAGGCCACCGCGTTTCGACTTATTTGAGTTTTTCGGATATTTTTCATATGAGGGTGTATTTTTATGTTTCCGGAGCTGTAGATTTTGAAAATGACCTCCATTTTATGATTACGCCACTGCGTTTTGACTTATTTAAGTTTTTCGAATTTATCCAATATTAAGGTCTACTTTTATGTTTCCGGAGCCGTAGATTTTGAAAACGACCTCCATTTTAAGATTAGGCCACCGCATTTCGATTTCTTTAAGTGTTTCGAATTTTTATCATAAAACAGTGTATTCTTATGTTTCCGGAGTCGTAGATTTTGAAAATGACCTCTATTTTAAGATTATGCCACTGCGTTTCGGCTTATTCAAGTTTTTCGAATTTATCCAATTTAAAGGTCTACTTTTATGATGCCGGAGCCTTAGTTTTTAAAACTACTTACATTTTAAGATTAGGCCACTGTGTTTCGGTTTTTTTAAGTGTTTTTGATTTTTCTTTCGAATAAAAAACATAATACGAAGGATTAATTTATTTTTCAATAAATAAATAAAAATATCTAATCAAAATAAATAAAATATGTATTGTCTCATTTTTAATTTAATTTTAGTTATCTTTTTTAATGTTGTGGTCTCCTATCACAAAATTATAAGATTTCGAACAATTAGCTGAAAAATCTGAGTACGGAAGGTTAAATTTATTACCAGTTGCTTTTCGGCTTTTTAGTTTGTATTCTGTGGTTAATTTTACTTTAGCTTCATAATATTTATTTATTTATTCATACTCGAAAACATATTGATGAAACTTTGTATTGAAAAAATCCAAAATGAAGCATAATTAATCAAGATGCAGCGGCTTAATCATAAAATGGAGCTTAAATATTAGATAAATTTAAATATTAAAGATTAGAAAAATTTCAATACGTCTCGGATAACATAGTAGATCCTTATACCGAAAAAGTAAAAAAAAAAACTTTTATAATCCAAAACAGTGGCATAAACTTTAAATTGGGTCATTTACAAAATGGGGGAAATCTACTGCTCCAGAAACATAAAATTAGACCTTTATACTTGTTAAATTCTAAAAATTTAAATAAGTTGAAACGCAGTTGCGTAATCATAAAATAGAGGTCATTTTCAGAATCTACGGTTCCGAAAACATAAAAGTAGACCTTTAAATTGGATAAATTCGAAAAACTTAAATAAGTCAAAATGCAATGGCGTCATCATTAAATGGATGTCATTTTCAAAATCTACGGCTCAAGAAACATAAAAGTAGACCTTAATATTGGATAAATTCGAAAAACTTAAATAAGTCAAAACGCAGTGGCGTAATCATAAAATGGAGGTCATTTTCAAAATCTACAGCTCCGGAAACATAAAAATACACCCTCATATGAAAAATATCCGAAAAACTCAAATAAGTCGAAACGCGGTGGCCTAATCTTAAAATGGAGGTCATTTTCAAAATCTACAGCTCCGGATACATAAAAATACACCCTCATATGAAAAATATCCGAAAAACTCAAATAAGTCGAAACGCGGTGGCCTAATCTTAAAATGGAGGTCATTTTCAAAATCTACAGCTCCGGATACATAAAAATACACCCTCATATGAAAAATATCCGAAAAACTCAAATAAGTCGAAACGCGGTGGCCTAATCTTAAAATGGAGGTCATTTTCAAAATCTACAGCTCCGGATACATAAAAATACACCCTCATATGAAAAATATCCGAAAAACTCAAATAAGTCGAAACGCGGTGGCCTAATCTTAAAATGGAGGTCATTTTCAAAATCTACAGCTCCGGATACATAAAAATACACCCTCATATGAAAAATATCCAAAAACTTAAATAAGTCGAAACGCGGTGGCCTAATCTTAAAATGGAGGTCATTTTCAAAATCTACAGCTCCGGATACATAAAAATACACCCTCATATGAAAAATATCCGAAAAACTTAAATAAGTCGAAACGCGGTGGCCTAATCTTAAAATGGAGGTCGTTTTCAAAATCTACGGCTCCGGAAACAAAAAAGTAGACCTTTATATTGGATAAATTCTAAAAACTTAAATAAATCAAAACACAGTGGCGTAAACATAAAATAGATGTCATTTTAAAAATTTACTGATCGGGAAACATAAAAATACACCCTTATATCGAATAAGTCAAAAAAACTTAAATAATTCGAAACGCAGTCACGTAATCTTAAAAAGGAGGTTATTTTAAAAAACTACTCATACGATAACAGACCCACGCATCGAAAAATTAAAGATAATTAAATAAATAAAAAAAGGTTGAATTTGAAATGGAAAAGGTTTAATTTGAAATGGAAAAGGTTGAATTTGACTTGGAAAAAGTTTAATTTGACTTGGAAAAGGTTGAATTTGACTTGGAAAAGGTTGAAATTGACTTGGAAATGCTATATTATTAATCTTTCATGACTATAATTAAGAGGATTTAAAAGTGAATTATTGGATTATAGGAACCTCTTTAAGCTACAAAACAAAAAGGGTTTTTGAAACTTTTTCTGTTCTATTTTGTATAGAAAAGCCTTTATATGTGTGTGTGTGCAATATTTATAAAATACTTTTTGTATTTTTGTAATCTCAGACTCAACCAAAAAACGTCAAAATTAATAATAATTAACCAGTATATACAAAAAAAATTGCGATGTTTGACTATTTACATTTCTTTAAAACCTTATCGATGTTAAAAAATTGATTATTGATTATTTACTCATTTAAAAAAAAAAAAAAAAAAAAAAAATCTACGTGCCTCTGGATTCTATAGTGACTATAATACACTCACTATAAAATAGTATAATTGTACTATTGCTTGATACCATCTGTAATTGTACAGGTAATATATATAATTAAAGTGAAGTTAATACTCACGAAGAATCTCTCTCGAACCATGCATCTCACTAGCTGATAAGAACCACTCTTGCATTTTGCCGAGTCTGATATCTCGGCTTCTAAAAAATAAAATGAGTATAGTAATTATTGTTTTGTGTAGATAAGATTTGTTTTCATTTACAAAAATTCAGATATTTATTTGTATTTCATCATATTTTAATTAATATAATGAAAGAAAAGAAAAACGAAAAACCTCTTTTTGACAGTACCTGTAAAATTCTTTAATCCGATGATAAGAGTTTCTGTCTTATTATCCAAATCTTGATCCTACTCAACATCTATTGGATCCATTGTAAAAACTAAATAACAATTTTATGTATATTTTTGAAATTGTTGAACTTGAACTTGGATACTTCTAGATATTCAGAAATATTATAATTTTGGTCTGTATCACGTTAATCATCGACGTTTCTTAAACTAGCCTCGTTTCCTTGTAAGTTAGTTTCTTTGTAAGTTAGTTTCTTAAGCAGATGAAGAAGTAAATAGTCTTTAAAGAAAAACGTAATGGAGTTATAAATATATATATTTTTTGTAAAGAATTACACAGATGATTATACACGAATAACGGATTCTTCATTAATATATTCTGAGGAAGGATATGCTGAAGGGATTAGTCTGCTAGAGACGAAATATTGGCGTGAAAGTGAATTTAAATTTAAAATTTTCTAAACCGTAAATTTTCTGAAAAAAAAAATGAATGGAAAATTTTAAACCATGCAGTTTGAATCTGTGGCATACAGGTGGACAGTGAATCTATATTTAGAGATTTAAGTCTTTCTGGTTTGGAGTTTTCTATTTATATTCCAGTTATTTATGTCTTTTTGAATTATTTAATATTTATATCAATTTTATAAGTTTATCATTTTCTACATTCTTACCTATTTTACCCAGACAGGTGTTCAGCGCTGTTTCGTCGACTGCTTTCCATTTTGGATCTTCATCAACCATTTCGTCCATCTTCATTATATGTTCTTTGTTTAGTTTCAAATCGGGTGTCTAGAAAGATTAATCATTAATTTGAGATAAAACAATTTATTTAGTAATGCTGCTCAAATATATCAAGTTACTATATCAGAAAGCATACGAATCAATTACTTTGGTTTAAGTAGATACATTTTCGGATAAACCCACATTTCTATAAGCCGAAGAGGCAATTCTCGGCAGGCAGCAAAATTTAAGTGAAATTATATCTTTATATTCAAACGAACTTAACACCAAAATCCTTGTCACGTCTGTAAATTTTCCTAGTCTCATGCGTCATAAACAAAAACAATAAAATAAAAATAATCTATAAAACACTTTATAAAAATAAATCCATAATATTTCAAAATATCTTTAAGAGTTTAAGGATCTTTCCATGAATTTGATGAAAAACCTTTTTTACTCAATGTGTTACGTTAAAAAATATATATATTTTTAAAAAATTGAATTGGAGAGTAGGGTAAATTATTTAGCCTGTTTCCTCAGTTACGGAATGATCTGAATCCGTAACAAATAATATTAATTTAACCTTTATCTTAATAATTAAGTTTGTTAACTGTGTCAGTTGGTGAATCATATGTTCTAAATTCCCATAACTCGAAGGACAAAAGTACAAAGCTATCCCTAGATAGTTAGGACGAGCTAATTCGACGAGATAGTTAGGATGAGCTTAGATATAGTTATCTAAAATGCACCGACTGGAGCCACAAGACCCATTGTCTAGATTCCCTAGAGGATCCAGAGTATAATTTTTTTTTACTTTTTTTTGGGGGGAGGGACTTCAACTCGAATTTTTTTTTTCATATATATATATATATATATATATATATATATATATATATATATATATATATATATATATATATATATAATGATAATTTATTTTTAAAAAAAATAAAGAAACTAACTACTATATGAACTGATTTTTAAGTGATTCTTGAAGTCCTATTAAATGTAATTACACGAACAATAGTACTTCAAGAAATATTTTTTTAATATTTTTTACTATAAAACATGCTTACAGTTTACCATTTTTTATGAGAGAGGAAGAAAGCGGGGGGCTTCAGCCTGAAAGCCTTCTTATTTAAATTATTTAAAAAATAATTATGGAGGAAAATCTGGCAGCTGAACTTGAATTCGGTCAACCGCTTCCTTTCACAACCTTTCCACATGGTACTGAACTCCAAATCTTTCATTGGCTGTTAATCATTACAAATAAACCGCATTAAGGAACTTTAGATAATTTTTTTTTAATTCTACGTTTGAGCCCGCTAAAACTATTTCAATGAGAATAAGATCTGATATTTAATTGGTAATTGATACACCGTTTAATTGATCGTTGAGAAAACATATTTATTCAACATCTAGTCTTTATAAAAATGTATAAAGTGATACATCCCGTAAGACAATTTTGGTGAATAAGTTTCTGTAACATCGCACATAAATATTATTAAATACGTAGTTTCAGTTTCGTGTTACATTTCTTGTTTAGATATACTATTTTTTCGATACTTGGTTGTTTCGTCTCAAAGGAACTCAAAACATGTATCTACACTGAAAATTCGGATTCAAAATTCTCTATAATTGCGATAGTAGAATTTTCCATATACTTACAGGTAACTTAAAGTAAAAATAATAATAATACACATACCAATAATCTGGAATAATTGAATACACATTCTCCAACACACTGTAAAAAAAAAAAACTTTATGTATAATTTTATTAGATTTAAGGTGAAAATTATTATGTAGCAATTGCATACAGTAATGTAATTAGGCGAAATGAGGAATAAAATATACCATGGCGTAGCGACCGAAAAGTTGTCATAAAAATTGGAATCGTGGAATGAACAAACATATGGTGGAAAAATAACAGCCCAAATTATTTCAATAAATGAATTTTTGTTTCTTCAATAATTTAAACGATGGAGAGATTTTAAACAAATGTATGATTAACGTCTTTAAGTAGTTACATTTTTATTTGTTATGGAAAACTTCATAATTTTTATAAGTGAAAAATTCTTTAGTTTTCCACTTTTTTTTGTGGAGAGTGAATTAGACTGGTCCGTCAGATTTTCGAAGTGCTAACGCTCGTGTGAAATCGTGTGAAATAAGTGAAATATTTTTACATAAGGATTAAAATATCTCAGAAACTAAAAATCGGGCCTGCATGCCATGTTAGATAGGCAAAAAGGAAAAAATAATGTTGAAAACCAAATGATAACGAGTTTAGTTGAACATATTGATTAAAATATTTCAGAAACTAAAAATTGGACCTGTATACTATAAGCGAGAGCAATATTCAGCATTTCATCTTCATTGTGATGAGCTCATATTCAAAATTGTATCATAACGTGACGCCGTTTTAGAGAGGCGAAAAGAAAAAATAGTGTCGAAAACCCAATTATAGCGAGTTTTATGGAAGATATGGATTGAAATATCTCTGAAATTTAAAATCTGACCTGCATACTGTAAGCGAGGGAAATGTTCAGCATTTTATCCTTTTATAATGAGCTAGTATTTATAGTTTATATTTCATATTATTAATCTCGCCTTGTTGATGTTTTAACTTCTATCGTTTGGTCTAAAGCACACACATTAGTTTTTTTTTTGTAATTATAATCCTTATTTAGACTTGTCACGAAAAAGTGACATTCAGCACATTTGATGAGCTTGCTTGCCGTGTCAGGCTTGGATACTTTGATGTACCCTTTTCCAATCCTTAATCGAACTCTATAATTCGCTTATCTCGTTGTATTAATGAGCATGACAACTGTAGCCATATCTCTTGTCAGTCTTTTTGTTTTCCCAACTGATCTATAATAAAAGAGGAAGAATGAGTCCATATGTGTTGATCTACTACTGATTGGTGCCAGTCAGTACGAGAAGGTTTGTAATTCATCGATCAAAATGTTAATGTCATAAAACTTAGAAAATATTTATATTATTTCATACAATGAATCTTCTTCCTTAAATCATATATCTGTACGGCGTATAAAGGTCTATAAATATTTAGATATATATGAGAATGTTTCACTTTTTTCTAATTTTAAGTATATACAAGACAAACGCTCTAAACTGCCAACTATTTACAAAAGACTCATATATATTACTATAATAAGGCATATTTGGACTTACGAGATCGAGCTTTGGGGTTCTACTAAACCATCAAATTCCTCTCGTATCCAATCCCTACTTTGTCACAAATAAAATCATCCATAATGACCTTAATGTATCATATGTTTCCGATTTTGCTCAATCCTTTCATAATAAACTTTTGAACCATCCAAACCCTTTCGTTCCCAACCTTGCTTCCTCTTCTATTCCTGATAATCCTCCGAGGCGTCTGAAAAGAAGATGGCCTCGGGACCTTCTAATATAGAAATATAATTGGAGTGCTACCAATGGGTAGTTTCTCTTCATGTTGTACAAGTCATATTACTTAGTCATATTTACTTGTTGTATTTATTATTAATTACAGTTGTAAATTTCGTAAATAAAAAAAAGAAAGTATATACACAATTGCTTATTCTCACGTTCATGACAGTTGTGCATGAACATCTGAGGAGAAAAACAAAGGTTATAAAACTTATTAAAGAATAATCAGATTAATAAAGTAAAGTAGTTTAAAGCATTTGGCAAACCATTCGTTTTATTTCTTGAATCTGAGTCAAGCAGAAGTGTAAATTTTAGAAAAAAAAAAGTTTATTTTTATTACTCCAACGACGCTCTTTGTCTTCTTTACGATCCTTAAAATAAACAAGCCATTTCATTCCCTCTGTTTAAAGGCCCGGAATTTCAAAATAAATGGATTAATGGAATTAATTTTGTATCGTATATGTAATTTAAGTTCTCAGGATTTCATAAAAAAAAAATATCATAGGTCATGAAAACATGTAACTGGTTCATTTTTACGCAAAGGAGGTTCAAATGGTCCATTAAACTTAAAAATTAAACTTTTTTCTCTCGTTCCACATCTATCAGGCCATACGGGATTTTTTCGAGCCAGAGGGCGGGGGTGGAGGACTAATGTCAGAGTTAAAATCTTCCTCTTGTACAGAGACGCAAACTCATAATATTTCGCCAATTTATCTTCTATCAGATGCTGAGCCGAGCTGTGCTGTGCTCACGCGTTAGTTCGGTCGGCCATCTCGCGCTCTCTTCACTCACACTGTCAGAAATACTGAAAATCAGTGAGTCTGTTATCGAAAAGAATGCAAGTAGTAGCATTGGTCGGCGTGATGGAAAAGACTACCCCATTCAATGAGGAGATCCTTCATCCAGCTTCTTTTGAATGTCCTAAGGGTGTTTTCGACATACCAAGGAGATGAATGTTTTTTACTGAAAAGTTAGTAGTTCTTATATGTGGGTCGTTTTAGCTGTTCCGTTTATCTGTGAATAGTAGATCCATGTAGATCCATAAAGGTTTAATTAGATAAATGTAAGTGTTCAATTTCTGTTTTAGTGTTAATTTTGAGCTTCATGAAAGAAGTGAATACAATAGTCGTAGTCTGAGGTTCAACGTTTTTCTTTTTTTGTTGTTATGTGGGCCTCATGTCATTCATTTGTCAAATATCAGTCCAAAATATTGTACTTAACATCTTTGAGGAATTTGGGCATTTTTCCAAAATGTTCCAAGGTTTTCATCAATCATTCAGTTTTGTTAGATGATATTATAAAGTCTGTTTGCATTACTTTCTGCATTGAAAAAAATAAATTTCATGGTGCAGAATTATTTATCATTTTTTTAAATTAATTTAATTTATTTTTGATGTGTTCTGTCAATATTAAATTAATAACTTCTATATACTCACTTCCAATAATGAGATCCTATCTTCTCCTATGGGAGCTGAAAAAAACATATATTATTTATTAAAAAAATATACGTTGTAACATATATTTATTGGAAGATTTAAAATTATGAGTCTTTATATTAATATTAATTTATATGCTCTCTATTTAGTCAATCTTCTGCTTCCTCCCTACCCAAGGTAGAGAAGATTTGTAATCGTACAACAGGTTAACAATATTTTCGTGCTCAGAATTTCCCTAATCAGTCCAGTCATTTGGTAGTTTAGACCAAACCTGGGCAGAATTTATTTGAAAAATATTCCCAGAATAAATCGTTAAATAAACCTCAATAGTTATTTCCGAAATAATTTATATCATGAAATAATCTGAACATTATTTCCAAAATGATTATTTCTGGAATAAATTATTTCAATAGTAACGATATAATTATTTCTGAAATGATTATTTCAGGAATAATGTTGTGAAATAATCATTCTATTTGACTTTTTAGATATAATCAATATCAGGGTCGACTGTTATGTTTTCGGGGGCGCTTATTATAAAAGTAATGTCAAATTTGAGATTGCGCCCCCTCCCACCCTCCCGCATCGAATTTTCGTAACTTTTCGGATTTAATCGATATCAGAATCGATTCGATGTTTTCGGGGTAGCTTATTATGAAAATTCGATCGAATTTGAGATTGCGCTCCCCCCTCCCTTCATCCACTACCAGCATCGACTTTTTGTAACTTCTTTTTAATTTACGATGCATTATAACTTTTCTCGGCTTCTTTGGTCCATTGCAACGAACGCCCAGATATTTGGTTGGTGCTACATAGAAGAATAGTGGATCTTCTGTGTAGCCACCACCCAAACAAATTTGGTTAAAATTAATGATTCACTGACTGTAACCTCCCCTTGACAGTAAACTACCGTAAAAACTAAAGTAAAAAGCCCGCGCGATGGGGGAACATGATACATTTTTTATATTATTAGCTTAGTATTAATTCATATTAATTGTTAATTGATAACAGTAAATATATCATGTAGCCACAATAATAAGTCCTTGCCATCTTGGCTGTTTTCACTCAACTCCTTCGCAAACATTAAAAAATAGCATTTTCAAGTCAATTTCAACCTTTTCCAAATCTGATTCAACCTTTTCCAAATCAAATTAAACTTTTTCCAAGTGAAATTCAACCATTTCCATTTCAAATTAAACATTTTCCGATTAAAATTCAACCGTTTCAATTTCAAACTAATGGTTTGAATTTTTGTAAATTTTTCATTTTTTTTTAAAATAAGGACCATCCCTCTCCCTACAATATGAAGGTCTATTATTATGCTCCCTTGAGTAGAGTTTCTCAAAATACTACCGATTTTATGTTACACTTGCTGATATTGATTTACTGCATCCATTCGGATTTATTAAGGTCTAGTATCATGCTGCCGTGTGCCTAGTTTTTGAAAACGACCTCCATGTTATGATTTCGCCACCGCTTTTCGACTTATTTAGGTTTTTCGGATTTATTCGATATAAGAGTGTATTCTTATGTTTCTGGAGTCGTAGATTTTGAAACTGACCTCCACTTTTAAGATTGCGGCACTGCGTTTCGACTTATTTAAGTTTTTCAAATTTATGCGCTTTATGGGTCTACTTTTGTATCCCGAGCCGTAGTTTTTAAAGATGATCTTCATTTTAAGATTAGGCCACTGTGATTCGGTTTGTTTAAGTATTTTTGATTTTTCCTTAGAATAAAAAAAATACTAAGTATTTATTTATTTTTCAACCGAAATAAATAAAATATCTATTGTCTCATTTTTAATTTAATTTTAGTTATCTTTTTTAATGTTGTGGTCTTCTCTTAAAATAAAAATATAATATAGTTCTATAATGTAGAAAAATAAATAAATACTTCGTATTTTTTTTTTCAAAGGAAAAAATCAAAAATTAACAAAAATTCGAAACATTAATTTGAAATGGAAACGGTTGAACTTGAATTGGAAAAGGTTGAATTTGAAATGGAAATGGTTGAATTTGACTTGGAATAAATTTAATTTGATTTGGAAAAGGTTGAATTCGACTTGGAAAAGCTGGAATTTGACTTAAAAAAGATTGAAGTTGACTTGGAAATGCTATATAATGTTTGTAATGGAGTTGAGTGATAAGAGCCAAGTAGGCATAGACTTACTGTTATGACATGTAAGTATTAAAAGTTCCACTGAAGTTAAACTGAAAAAATCTAAAAAGTTAAAATAAATGAATATGCAACCGCGTTATCATAATTTTTTAGTATTTTTCAAAAGTAATGCCTTCGAAAATATAGCAAGTGGCCTTCATTTAGAAAAAAATCGAAAATTGACTAAAATTTGAAAGTTGAATTTGAAATGGAAAAGGTTGAATTTGAAATGGAAAAGGTTGAATTTGACTTGGAAAAGGTTGTATTTGAAATTGAAAAGGTTTAATTTGACTTGGAAAAAGTTTAATTCGATTTGGAGAAGGTTGAAATTGTCTTGGAAATGCTATATCAATCGTACAAAACCAGAGTAAATATGAACAACTGTTAAATTTTAAAGTGCTTACTCCGAGATAGATCGCCCATGTATTCTGTCAGACATAATTTCATATTCCTTTCCATTTCTTCTTCTTTATCTGTGTCATTATTTTCATCACCGTATCGGCAGCATAATGGAGGCTGGATTGAATAATATTAAGATTGATTTGTGAAATATGAAAAAAAATTAATAATTTAACTAATTTAGAGGCATTTAATAGTAACTGCATATATCATCTGTCAATACTTACCGGCTTTTCTTGAACTGAAGTACATTCGTCAACAATCACTCCACCGTAGCTGGTTATCTAAGATTATTAAAATAAATAAATCATTGTTATTGTTCTAGAAAGTTAAAAAATAAATTACAGTTTTAAATAAACTATTAATGTCAGACTAATGTAGAAACAAACTAATGCATAAAGAGATTTGGAGTACAATATAGATTTCCAAGTAATCGGAGGCTCCACTATAAATTAAGAAATGAAAACTATTAGAATGATATATAACTTACAAATTTCTACTGTTAAATAATTTAAATAATCTAGGTGGACGAATGACAAGTACGAACGAATGACAAATACCAAAAAAAATATATTCAATGAATTCTTCCATCAACTTGTAATTCATTTGTAGTGAGGTTTTCTCTGTTATTTTTATTCCATTAAGTAAACATGTTTATTTATTGCTGAAAAATAATAGCAATGTTCAAAAGGTAATTTATCATTTTTTTGTAAAATTTCATTGCACCTATTAGTTTTTGAAAAACTATAATCGATTTTCTGGGAGAATAGTCCAAATACAAAACTAAGCAAGTCCAAAAAGAAAATTAAATAAAATGAAGTATAGAATCGTCAAACAATGAATTACACTTATATATTAGTTATATATACACTTTTATATTAGTCCACCACCGACTTAACGAATAGTTTTTAAAAATAAGTTTTTTGGATTTATGGAATCTAGAAACAAATAACTTAAATAATGTTTTTAAATCATTTTTTTTTTATTACCACACACTTATGTAGGTCAGAAAATAAAATGAATAGAAATTATATCAGTCAGTCGAAACACACTATTAACGAAAAGTTTTAACAACTTATGTAGGATATTATAATTAAGTACTGACGGATCCAGGATTTAATTTTGGGAGGGGCTTCTACCCGAAAGTTTTTTTTTTTTTCATATATATAACGATAATTGATTTGGAAAAAAGAGAGAAAGAAATTAACTACCTATATGTAATGGTGTTTAAGTCCTATTAAATGTAATTAGACGAACAATAATACTTTAAGAGATAGTTTTGGTTTATTATTTTCAATAATGAAACATTGTGTTCGACCAAAAAATTCAAAAACATAACCCTCTCTCAAAATTTGAGGTTTCACGTATCAAGACGCGTAGAATTCGAAAAACGAATAAAAAAATTTTGTCCGTCCGCCGTATGCCGTCCGATTTTTTTCAAATTTTGATATAAAATCAGAGGTCAACCGAGGATGATCCTCCTTCATCGACATTACTCTCTGCCTTTAACTTTCAAAATGGCGGCCGAAAAACCTGCGTTGCTATAGACTGTAGCTCCTAAACGAATGTACAGATTTCAATGAAACTTCGCTAAAGTCATTTTCTCGACGCCCTTTAAATTTATCTATATAACATACTTCAACGAAAAGAAGCTGGAAAAAAAGTTACGAGGGATGGTAAAATTAAATTCCGAATAACTCGAAAATTTTTTACTTTTTTGTTGATATTGTGATGAGATGTTTCAAAGGTATTTAAATTTCCTAAAAAATGAAGGAAGTTTCATCGAAATCAAAGCACTATTAGTAGAGATATCGCGGCTTTTACATATTTTGGTTTATTATTTTCAATAATGAAACATTGTGATAAACAAAAAAACATAACCGCCTCTCAAAATTTGAGGTTTCACGTTTCAAGACGCGTAGAATTCGAAAAACGGATAAAAACAATTTTTTGTCTGTCCGTCGTCCGCGGATTTTCTCCGAAACTACTGGACCGATTTTTTTCTTCAAATTTTGATATAAAATCAGAGGTCACCCGAGGATGATCCTCCTTCATCGACAATACTCTCCGCCTTTAACTTTCAAAATGGCGGCCGAAAAACCTGCGTTGCTATAGAATGTAGCTCCTAAACGAATGTACAGATTTCAATGAAACTTCGCTAAAGTCATTTTCTCGACGCCCTTTAAATTTATCTATATAACATACTTCAAAGAAAAGAAGCTGGAAAAAAAATTACGAGGGATGTTAAAATTAAATTCCGAATAACTTGAAACGTTTTTACTTTTTTGTTGATATTTTATATAGTTTTTTAAAAATTTACGGAACTTCCTAAAAAACAAAAAAATAAAATCGTTAAAATCGGACAATTAGGAACAAAGATATGGTCTCCGGTTTTTTTTTATGTGTTCTACTCCAAATGTTATATCCTTGGTTTGGTTTTTAAATTTTAAATGTGTTACTGAACTAATGCTATTTTTTTTAGCATATTACTAATGATTAAAGAAAAACAGTTTAGTCCAATAATTGGAATCACCTTTTGTTTTTTTTTTTCTTTGTAACTCGGAAGGTAGTGTTACTTTAGATGTATAATTGTTTTTAGATAATAAACCATTGTGAAATAATTTGCAGCGTTTTTAATATTTTTTCCTGTAAAATATGGTTATATTTTACCGTTTTGGGGCAGAGGGGCTTCAGCACGAAAGCCCCCCTTCTCCCTCCCGTAGATCCGCCTGTGCAATAAAGTGAATAATATATAACATGATAACATTCAAAATACCACTAGGCAAGCAGTGCAGAGAAGTAAGAGCGGCTTAACACCCAGTAAACGATTCATTGCGACTGATATGACGGAAATCTATCTGTTCATCGGAAGTACTGAGTGGGGAGTTAGTCACGGTAGGGTGCGTTGGAGGTTGTTGCCAATGAATCATTCTTAATGAATAACCGGAACAATCAAAAGAATCACGAAACAGATATTTACGTTCAAGTCACTTGAAATTAACTGGCAGAATATGTCATTTTTTTTTAATTATCTGCTCTGCACGAAAATACATATATAGTCAGAGTACTCATACAAGACAAATAAAGTCTCTGTCTATTAATCTATACACTAATATAAAAATGCGAGATTCTCGTATGCGATATATGTCCTTCCTCTTAACACATTTGAAGTATAAGCGATATTGGGGAAACGTTTCTATTTTTATAAATCGAAACATTATTATCAGATGGGATAGTGCTAGAATTAATTAATATTTAAGTAGCGTCAATTCTATTAGTTAATAGAATTAAGCTGTATATATATGTGTAATGTGGTTGTGTGTATTTAGTGAAAAATAAAAATAGTAACGTAAAAAAATAGTAAAGTGGTTCTCCACCTATGGTCTATTCAATACAAACAATTGGAGAATCTCCGTACTATATTGGTGTAAGTATATTTAATAAATAGTTAGTAAGGCAATATCTGTTTAGTTAAGCAATAAAGGAAGAGGATCCATCCTTTTTAGTAATTTTCTTACTTATATTGGGATTTAGAAGCCAGTACTGGAAAAGACCTTCATCACTACTATTGCGATATTAATAAACAAAAAATCACAAATATGTCCACAAAATGCGTTGATAAAAATAAACATATTTTTATTAAAAATTCAAATACGTTCTCTTTGTATTATCTGAGGTCCCTAAATTTTTCAGGGATATTCCCCTTCATGTTCATTTTCAATATATTGTTAGTTTGCCGTAGAGAACGTATAATAAATAGCAGTATTTTAATTTTTAAAATCCTAAACGCCACGTCGCACGCACAATGGCTGGAAGGCGGTAAAACCTATATTTTGAAGGTATTGGAAAAATAATTTTCTTTTCGTCAATGATAAATAGATTAGTTACCTAAGATATTTCACTAATTAAATCGGAAAAATATTGATTTTTAACGTTGTACGAGCCTCCCAAATCCGATAATGGAATGATGTTTGAATTACAACGAAAATTGTTCGACAATATTCTTAGAGTCAATCGCATTTTGTATGTTTGGTACAAGTTTTCTTTTTATTCATAAACAGATATTTTAAATGGTCCACTGCATGAAAAAAAAAATCGTATTTTCAAGTCCAAAATAATATAGTGAAAAAGTACTAAAATAAATGGAAAAAATATTTTGTAGGTCCAGACCTTTTTATCGCGGCCGACCGCAGGTCTAACGTCTATTTGTTTACTAAGACAAGATTCCTAATAAGATATTAAAACAGATTCCAGCTGCGTCCACCTGCATCTATAATTCAAGAGTAAATTAATCATGTACATTGAATTAATCTTATGAATGTATTTTTTAACAAGCATCTATTTGAAATGAATATATTTTTGGCTGTAAAATAAATAAATATATAGTTTTAAGTATAATGTTATCTAATATGTAAATTAATGTATCTTTTTTGTTATATTTTTAATTATTTGTTGAGTCCTAAAAATATTAATTAATTGTTTAACAAAAAATAATTGGTTAGGTTTTACTTATTCACATTAAAAACCAAAATTTCATTGTATGGTATATAAATTAGTATAATGGTATTTTATTTTAAATTTTTCTTTTAGATGTAATTAGATGTTTAAAACATCTTTTGCGCGCAATACACAGCTATCATTTACTGCTCAACTTTGAATAGAAATTATTTTCTGGCCATGTTGGGCTATTATACAATTTTTTATCATAAATACCATTAAAATTACAAAAATCCTATTTATTATATCACCGGTTGATTATGCATGGTACGATCTATTGATTATGGATTGTACAACTGTTAGTTATTAAACTGTTATTTTCCATTGAAAAGTTTATTAAAATAGAACTAAGAGATTTTTATTATCTGTCATAAGGCCACCTTACACAGTCAGTGTTGGGCAAAAATTATCTATAGCTAACAGATAAAAGATAACAGCTAAATTAGCTATTAGCGGGAAGATAATTCTGCAACTAAATTAGCTATTAGCGGGACCAAGAAGCTAACTTTTAGCGCAAATTAACTTTTAGCTGTTCTTACCGCTAACCGCTAATTATCTTTATCTGTAACTTCAACTAAAAGCTAATAGCTAAATCTTCGAATTTCATTGGTCTTAGAGTCTATGACGTTTTGGAGGGCACTTTTTATGAAAATAATGTCGGATTTTCGGTAGTGCCACAAGGCAACGAATTTTTGTAACGTCTCTGATTTAATCAATATATGGGTCGACTATGAGGTTTTCGAGGGCGCTATTTATGAAAGCAATGTCGGATTTTAGATAGTGCGTCCGGGCACCAACTTTTTGTAACTTTTTGGATTAAATCGATATCAGGGTCGACTATTATGTTTTGGGGGGCGCTTTTTATGAAAATGATATTGAATTTGAGATAGGGTAGGGAAGAACAAAAAAAAAGCAGGGTCAACTCTTATGTTTTGGGGGGCGCATTTTATAAAAATGATATCGAATACACAGCATACAGATTGAGCCCCCCGGACCTCGACTTTATTTAACTTTTTTGATTAAATCGATATCAGGGTCGACTATTATGTTTGGGGGGCGCTTTTTATGAAAATGATATTGAATTTGAGATTGGACCCCCCGGGCCTCAACTTTTTTTAACTTTTCCGATTAAATCGATATTAGTGTCAACTCTTATGTTTTGGAAGGCGCTTTTTATGAAAATGATATCGAATTTGAGATTGGGCCCCCGGACCTCGACTTTTTAAAACTTTTTTGATTAAATCGATATCAGGGTCAACTCTTATGTTTTGGGATTCGCTTTTTATGAAAATGATGGCGGATTACGAATCATTTTCATGAATTTTGAAATAGTGCCTCCGGTTCCCAACTTTTTGTAACATTTCAGATTTAATCGATATTAGAGTCAATTATTAGATTTTGGGGGACGCTTTTTTATGAAAATGATGTCGAATTTGAGATAATTTCCCCGGAGCCCGACTTTTTGTAACTTTTTAGATTTAATAGATATCAGGTTTGACCATTAGGTTTTACGAGGTGCTTTTTATGTAAAGACTGTTGAATTTGAGATTGCGCCTCCTCATCGTTTTTTTTTTTTTTTTTTGTACCCTGATCTTTAATCCGACTTTTTTTTTAAAATAAAATTCGTCCCCCAAAATATAATAGTCGACCCTGATATCGATATAATCCAAAAAGTTAAAAAAAGTCATGGCCCGGGGAGCCCAATCTCAAATTCGATATAATTTTCTTAAAAAGCACCCCCCCCCCCAAAACATAACAGTCGACACTGATATCTATTTAAACGAAAAAGTTAAAAAAAGTCGAGTCCCAGGGGGCCCAATCTCAAATTCGATATCATTTTCATAAAAAGCACCCCCCAAAATATAACAGTCGATCCTGATATCTATTTAATCCTAAAAGTTAAAAAAGTCGAGGCCCGGGGGGCCCAATCTCAAATTCGATATCATTTTCATAAAAAGCACCCCCCAAAACATAACAGTCGACCCTGATATCTATTTAATCCTAAAAGTTAAAAAAATTCGAGGCCCGGGGGGCCTAATCTCAAATTCGAAATCATTTTCATCAAAAAGCGCCCCCCAAAACCTAATAGTCGACCTATATATCGATTAAATCAGAAAAGTTACAAAAAGTCGGTGCCCGGGGGGGGGCGGGGAGCACTATTTAAAATCCGACAATGTTTTTATAAAAAGCGCCCCCTAAAATTTAATAGTCGACCGATATATCGATTAAATCAGAAAAGTTACAAAAATTCGGTGCCCGGGGGCACTATCTAAAATCCGATAGCATTTTCATAAAAAGCGCCCCTGATTACATAACAGTTGATCCTAATATCAATTAATAAAATGAAATAAATAAATTTTCCTCTAGTGTTAGCGCTAAGTTAGCTTTTAGTTAAGTTAATAGATAATTTAGCTTAAGCTAAAAGTTAGCGGTTCGTTTCCGCTAATAGCTAATTTAGCGCTAAATTTATCTGCGCTAAAACAGTTAGAAGCTAAATTAACTTAATATTTAGCGCCGCTAATTTTAGCTTTTTAGCGGTACGTTAGCTAGTTAAAAATTAGCGCGCTAACGCCCAACTCTGTACACAGTCAATATTATTGAAGCCATATTCTTGAACTTGATATACATATTGCACTTGTTACAATGTATCCCTCACAGGGTTAATATATTTGATGTTGACTCAATAATATTGACCATGTAAGGGCCCCTATAGACAGGTCAAAAGTTGTCACACTAATTGTAGGTGGATACTGTTGGATTTTCAAAAAACAGAAAATTCATCGAAGAATTCCCTAATTTAATTTTATGAAAAATTACATAATGTTTTTTCGGAATAAACGGACTATAGATACCTAGTTATATAAATATAATATCAGATCTAAAGTTATTAAACTACAGTAAATATATTTAAGGTTATAAACATATCTATAAAATATTTTTATATTTCATTTCTTCTTTTACACAAGTACAATGAAATAGTATCTTAAACTGTCATTGCATTGAATCTGTGGATTTTAAATACTTTTTCAAACTTGAACTCTTAAAATTTCAAACTCAAGAAATGATAACAGTTACATATAGTTAGAAAATTTCATTTAATTTCATTGAAAACACGTGATTTACATTAAATAATATTATTTTTTAGAAATTATTATTTATATTTGTTTCGCCATTCTCCGTTACCTTCTACGATTTTCTGTATAAGATATTGTTTGTTTTTTTTAATTTCCCGCTTTCCAATAATATAATGTATGTATACCTTCTGATTATTATTTCCAGATAGTCATTTTCCGCTGGACATGTATTTTTTTTCTGTATTCAATTATCAAATTCTTTCAAAAGTTATATTTAGCATTTTTTAATAACTCCTAACAATGAGAAATAGTTATTATTTATAATAAACCAAATTAAAGGTACTTTAGAGGAAGACGTGATAATGTTGGGATTTCACAAAGAAAAAAATCATCAAATTATTTACTAATTTAATTTTCTAAAAAGTTACATGACAATTTTTTGCAATAAACATTGATACTTAATTATTTAAATATAATATCAGATCTATAGTTATTAAACTAGAGTAAATGTATTTAATGTTATAAACATTTGCATTCATTCACCCATGAAATGATTTTATATTTCACTTCTTCTTTGACACAAGTACAATGATAGTTTTTTTAACAATGTCATTGCCTTGACCAGGTGGATTTTAAATACTTTTTTCAAACCTAAAAATATTTTAAAAGTTTACATTTTATTTGAAAATTTCATTTAATTTCCTTGAAAACATGCGACTTATGTTAAATAATATTATGAGAAGGAGTTAGTCGGGGGTGCGGTCAAATAAATACTAAATTAAAATATAATAATTATTTTAATTTTTGCCGACGTTTCAACCCACTTTGCAGGTCGTCTTCAGGGCTACAAAAGATACAAAACATGTTGAAAATAAAAAATAAATATAAGTAGATATAAAATAAGAAGAAGTTGTCATATACAGAAATAAAAGATGATATCAGAGATATAGTGAGTGACAATGTAGTGAAATATTAAGTATTATATATGTAGAAGACACAAATAAATGGAAAATAAGTATAATAAAAATAAAGAAGAATATAGCATGTAAGTTAAAAGTAAAGAAATTGCAATAAAAGATAAGGAATAAGTGTATAACAAACTAATAGAGATTACATTAGATAACTGTGGGTTAACAGATAAAGAAAATCTATTTTCTTCTATTCTATGACAGAATTAATAATATTTATTAATATATAATTTAATAATGAAAAATTCCAGAGGAGTGTTTTTTTATATATCGTAAGTTTAGTAAATAAAATTATTTTCTATTTAGATATTCCTTATTTTTCAATGTTTACATAGGCATCTCATTATATAAATAATTTACTTGGAACAGAAAAAAATTAATTTCTTTGGATTAGAAATTGAAAATAGTAAAATACTTGATGAATGTTTTTTCTTCTCCTGTTTTGTATATTTTAAGCCTTGTTTGTGGATTAGAAAAACATGATAATTACTTTTACTACCTGTCTTTAATTGAATCCAATTAGAGCATAAATTGAATTACTTTATGAGTTTGGTAAGAGAAAGACCTATATTGCACGCCACACCCGAATTCATATTTACTCACATTTAAGTCCTAGCAAAAATTTAATAATCAAAATTACAACATGTTCCTTCTAGATGACATTTTCTATCTCTTGTACCTCATTCATCAAATTCTTTAGCTCATAAGGGGGGTGGTTAGGGGTGGTATCTATATCCAGAAATGAAAATCGAAGAACATGTTTGGTTCTAATCGCTCAGCTAACACAGAACAAAATTCTGAGCAGTCAAGCTGAAACTTGATAGCCAACCAAATGATAATAACAGGCTCTGTAATTCATAAAAAGATTATTGTAAACAATAAACCATTTATTTTGATATATTTATAACATATTTATTATCTAAAATAAACAAATAACAGTTTAGAATTTTATTGTTTCCGCTGCTTCAGGCAACACCTGGGATGACATTAGGGCATTTTTCTACCACTCCTCTATATGTTTTACATTCATTACCTGTTTAAAATGAGATATCAGTGTTGGCAATCAGTTATTATAACACATAAATATAATTATAAATGTATAATATAATATAAATTTTTATTACTTTCAGTCCAGGCATCCTTTGGGCAGTTCTGAAAATAAAAAGAAAGTACTCTTCTCTTTATGAAGTTTCAAAATTCAGTATGATGTATATATGTATATATATGTATATATATATATATATATATATATATATATTATATATATATATATATATATATATATATATATATATATATATATATATATATATATATATATATATATATATATATATATATATATATACTTAAATACAATATGTAAGGTGTACTACAAGCAGAAAACTGGAAAGCAATAGCCCAAAACAGGGATAATGAAGGCTGATTAAGGCATATAAAGAATCCAATAGAAAAAATCTGGTGAACACAACACACAACTTTCACTTACCGCTCTACTTTGAATAGAAATTATTTTCTGGCAATCCTGGGCTATTATCAAATTTTTGAAGTGCATTTTAAATGGAGCTTAAGCTTAAAGCTTACAGATAACAAGTCATTAAGACCATTATAATTATAAGATGTCTATTTATTATATCGACGTTAGGCAATAAAAATCTAGTCACTCCATCTGCTTTTATAAACCACACAACTTTCTTTGCTTTTATAAACCACAGAATGACTAACTCTAATTTCAACATTTTTGAGCATGATTATTAGGTCAATATCCTTGACAGCCTTAGAAGGGATTGGCTTAATAAATTTAAACAAATAAGAAGAGTAGTTTTTTTTACTTGGTGTTGAGAGGAAGAGGCAGGATAGCTTGGGATGCCTAGTACAGTATAATCACAGTCCCATTACGGACCCAAGGAAGAAAAAAAAAGATGTAAAGTCGATGTCTGGAACTTACCTGACATAATTGTTTTAAATATGTAAATCACTGAATTCGAGGAAAAAACAAAAGGAATCCAGAGGAAATATAACATCAAAAACAGAAAAAAATTTATTTTAAATTGGAAATTTAAAATTCTGTTTTGTTTGTTTTTTAATTGTTATTAAACAACAAAATGATCAAATATTTTTACCAACAATTAAAACCACAATGAGATTTTCTAAAATAGTAAAAAGTGATTCTAAAATTAGTTATCTGCCCGAGAGATCTTATCCTTCAAGAGTAAGAAAATGAACACAAATCTAGCAAATTGACAACAATAATCAATACATCAAATTTGCTAGATGCCCTACCACTCATGTGCAAATAGCATAGAATATTTAAATAAATAAACAAAATTACAATTGTAAAAGCACTTACCAAAAATCTTTCCCGAAGTACACATTTCAAGAACTGAAATGAACCACTTTTACACTTTGTGGATCCAGTTCCTTCTGTAACTGCAAACATATCTGTATCAGTAAAATTGGTAGCAAGGGATATAATATATTTGTGTTAGAGTATATTAATCTTTAAGCAACAGAATGTTTATTATTATAAGCAATATTAATATTTAATGAAAAAAAATTTCTACACTACACAATTGACAATATAAAAAATGTTTCTACCACTTTTATCAAAGCAGGTTTTCACTGCTGCTTCATCTATTGATTTCCATTTTGGATCAGGATCTATCATATCATCTTTAGAATTTATTTTTTCCATGCTTAGCTTCAAATCTGGAGTCTGGAATTAATAGATAATGTTTTACTTTCACAAAATATTTTAATGATATATAAATATAGAAGGTTAACTACTCCAATATTATACTTGTATCAGTAAAATTTTGATCCATGAAATATGTTAGATATTCTGTAATGAATTAATAATACAGTCCATTTGTATTCTAACATCTGAAATCCAAATTTATCTATTGCTCCATGATTCCTAGAATAAATTAATTACAGCAACTGTATATTTTAATGCCTGTTTCCACTAGTATTATTTTTTAAAAATAGTGCATGGTGTGTAATTATTATTTGCTTCTTGTCATTATCAGACTGTTTCTAATTTTATTCTCTTTCCCGCTCTACGCCAAAGGTCTCCAAACTACGGATCCAAGGTCCGGATCCGACCTGCAAGCACCTTCAATCCGGCCCACGAAAGTTTCTTTAATAAGATTATAATATTTGAAAAACCATTTAACCATTCGAAATTTAGCTAATTAATCAGACACGAGGTTGGTACATTTATTGTATGGGTTTGTTTCTCTTAGACAGCTCATTTCATAGGTGAAGTGACGAGTATAAAACAAGTTATTTTTTGTCATCACTAGCCATGGCCCACGAGACTTTGATAGAGGTCTCAATAGGATCCACGGAACTTAGTTGAAGTCTGAATGTGGCCCATGAGCTAAAAAGTTTGGAAACCCCTGCTCTAGACCATGGCTTTCCAACGTATGGCCCACCATAATTCACACTTACTATCTAAGTAAATCAAATCTTATTATTTTACTTCCAAGTAAGAAACATGACTGAATTGATCTGCCATAATTAATGAAACTGAATTTTTTAATTATAATTAATGATATGAGTGTATTGGTATAATGAGATGGTTTGGTTTTGGTCTTTGGGACTTTAAAGAGCTTTATAAAGTAGAGCTTTTTTTTTTTTTTTTCCTATTCAGAGAGATTTCAAATGTGTCATTACTGAAAATGTAATTTAAAAAAATAAAAAAACTGTACCACTACAGCCCAAGAAGAATCTGGGGTTCATTACTTTTTATGGAAGTACAGTTTTTTGGTCAACTCCTGATGCAAAGAGGTGATTCATCTCAGATCACACTCAATCAACCAAAAATATTATTTCTCGTAAATTTTTGGTGCTAAAGTAGTTAAGTGTATTATGTTTACTATAAATATTCAAAGACTAACATAAATTACAATTATATTATTAACTTAACAATAATAATTATGATAGCTAAGAATCACAATAATAAATGAACATACCAATAAACCAGAAGCATTGAAGAAACATTCACCTACACACTGTAAAATTGTGAATATTCTAATTAATAATTAAACATAAAAGTAAAAATACTTTATAAAGTAGTTTGAATTCAATAATGAACTAGTCTCACCTCCATTAATGACATCTTAACATCATCTGCTGGAGCTGGAAATGAAAAAAATCAGATGAATGAAGGAAAGCTATTTCAATGTATATTTTATTTTTTATTTTAAGCTTGAGTAAATGCTTATTAATTTATATAATAGATTACAATATTCAGAAATAGACCACGTAATAATTGAACAAAGTTAGTTGACTGTTCCACATCGAAGACGATAAATAGTCAGGACGCAGTCATTTTAAGATTTTCATTGTTATTATTATTGCCAACATTTCAACCCAAGCAGGTGGGACATCATCAGGAATGAATTAAAAAATATATATATCAGCTATATAATGCATAAAAAACTGATAATAATTAGTAATGGTAAATATTGATGCATGCTACATAAGATTAACAAATGGAATACTTATACAAATGGAAAGTTATACAAATTATAAAATAATATGAGAAGGAGTTGGTCAGGATTGAGGTCAAATTTTAATATATAGTTTTTATTTTACTGCACCCTATACACACGGTCAACTATCTCTACACCATTATAAAATAATATACATTGGAACATCTCTCTTATATTTTTAAACTAATTATAATATAATGTCGGAAGATCACTTTATACTATAGCGATATTTCCAAAAGAAATAAGAGGTTGTTAAATAAAAAACAAAATTATAAGAGTATTAATATATTACATTTTTTCTTTTTTATTGAATGCCTCTGCTGTTGCCTATTAGACCATTCGGCTACTGGCAGCCCAATACAAATCCGCCTTGATTCCTTTGTTTGAATTTGTACCGATCCCATCAGGAGTACTGCTGACACCTGACAGAGCAGAGCAAACTGAGAGGTGCAGTTACATCTCGTACATCTCGTCCTGTTGGCAAAGTGGGCACATATGGCTTTCTATCACTCCAATCCTATGTAAATGCCTTTGCAGGTAATTGTGCCCTGTTGTCATGCGGAAATGTTCCACCGATGCTTTCCTATTTTTGGTTTGTTTCATCGGCTCCTCCGTTAAACATTTTTTGCCCGCTGTGTGTCGCTTTTGCCAACTCTTGTTCTCTTCCTTGTAAAAGGATTTTAAAATCCTTTTAACAGATTCGTAGGGCAGCGGAGAATTAGTTAGAGAAGTGTTTGAACTCCAGGAATAGCTTCTAGTATTTCAATTACATCGTTAATCATTATGCTATACTCAAAACGGCACCATGGGGGACCCCTCTTCTTGTCTGTTTACAAGATGAAACTACACCATTATATTTTACCCGAATATGTCTCTGGGCCAATAAAGAATAAATGCATTTGAAAATATTACCTGCCACAGACATATTTCTAATTTTTAGTAACAGCATTTCTCTCCCGACTTTATCAAATACTGCTTTAAAGTCTACAAAAATTGCAACTGTACTTTGCTTTCTGTGAAAACCATTTTTTATTTCATGCGAAAGGTACGCAATGTGCTGCACCTGTTCCTGTGTTTTCTAAATCCTGCTTGATTGTCAGAGATAGCTCGCTTAATTTCCAAGAAATTCTCAAGTCGAGACAATACTAGTCGCTCAAACAATTTTGAGAGCATGCTAGTGAGGACGATTGGTCTACAGTGTTCTGGTTTGTTTGGAATCTTGCCTTTCTTAAGAATAGGGATTATTTCGGTTATACGCCATTGGCAATCTTTTCTCCAGATCTAGTTGATAAACCGCAGGACAATAGCTCTCGCAGACTCCCCTAGATGTTTTATAAATTCGGGAAGGATATTATCTGGCCCTGCGCTTTTTTTACATGGCATCTTTTCAATAGCTGAGTTTAATTCAGTAGCAATGAATGGGGAACATAAAATCGAAGTTTCTGATTCGTTGAGACTGGTTGCAGATTCTTTAAATTTCACTTTATGATTGGGTCCTGTATGGTAATTACTAGCCTTAGAGTAATATGAACAGAAGAACTTGGCCATAGCCAAGTCCGATGTAAGAATTTTTCCGGACGCCGCTACAAAAGGATTATTCTTCATAGTTTCTGTCTTCTTGTTGATTTTCGAAAGGAAACGGTGAGCTTAGAATCCATCTTTCCTCAGATCTAGCTTTTCCAAGAATTGTCTGTATGAACTTCTTTTAGCCTGAATTATTTCCCTCCTAAGTAAAGCTCCTGTAGCTTTCAGATCTGTTTTATCACTCTCCTGTCTCCTGTTTTGATATATTTCTCGGGCGGCATTTCTATCCTCCTTCAATCTCAGCAGATCAGCATTTCAGAAAGGAGAATATTTCTTAACGCAACCTCTAGGAATAGTTTCTATGACACATTTTAAGATTGTTTCACATATTTTCTTATTAATAACATCCACATTAATTTGTATTACATGCTCATTTAACTGTAAATCACATATCTTGTAAAATAATTTCCATTTAGCTTTTTGCAAGTTACATTTGGCTATTTGAGGTTCAGAGGGTCTACTAGTTCTATGGGTCCTGTTTATTATTTTTAATATCTTGTGTCCTAATTCTCCTAGTGCATGTTCCACAGAACAGTGAATGTCATTTTTTAGATTTGTGTGAGTCAGAATTGCATCCGCATTGCTAGTATTGCCCCGGGATAAAATAAACGTTGGGCTGTTGTCTTCTCTTCTAATAATTCTACTGGGTTCGCGTCAATGAAATCCTCAAAAATCCTACCAAATGATGTTTGGTTATAATCCCATCTAGTGAATGGGGCATTAATATCACCATATAGGGGATCCTACACGGTCAATCGGGATTGCACTAATGACGTTCCGAACTGTCGTGTAAGGTAGTGAATGAAGTACTGATGGTGGTGCGCTGCGGATTTCCGAACATCCGGAAATCAAAGGTTCATTCACGAGAAGTGGAGGGGGGACTGAGGTAAAAGTAGTGGGGAGACTAACCATACTACTGGATAGGTTAGGTTTCCTAGGCCTCACAACCATTATAAATTTCTGATTTTCATTATATGTAAATAGTTAAATAATTTTTCATATCCCTTGTTTATAATTTTAAATCATCTTCAACTATTTCTTTTAAATAGTCAAGTGGGCAACAAATTAAAAAAAAAAATGAGGAACTTTCACAATTTACTTTAGAAAAAAAAACAACTTTAACATTGTGTATATTTATCAGTTCTTTTCCCATTTTCCTCAACAAATTTATTATTTTCGCAATACCTTTCCTTAATTTTTGTAAGTGGTAGACTTATATTTTACTAACTTTTGTCAAAACGATTTTCTATGAGACTAACCTTCTATGAGACTACTACTAGATAGGTTAGTTTACCTAGGTCTCGTTATTAAGTAAATAGTTGTTTATATCCCTAGTCTATATTATTATTAACCATTTTCAACTATTTTTTCTTTAAATAGTCAAGTAGGCAATAAATTGAAGAGAAAAAAAAGTGGAAACTTCACAATTTACTTATAGAAAAAAATCTTTAACTGTTGTGATTATTTGCCATTAATTTGTCTATTTTTCTTAACAAATTGATTATTTTCGCAATACTTTTCCTAGATTTTTGTATGTAGTTGACTTATATTTTTCTAATTTTGGTCTAAATAATTTTCAGGCACTAGGAAGTAATTATTATATCTCCGTTTTTCTCTTGATGCCCAATATTATAAATGAAAATGTCCAAATACGCATATCTATGCTGTTTCTTTGTTTACAACTGCGCTAAATTGGTATCAGCAATGATAAGTAATGATCAGTAATGATTGAACGTGTAAGGGTCTTCCTGATCAAAGCGATAGCGGGCAATCTTGGCACTTCTTGTGACGTTCATTCATGAATTACCGTGTAGGGTCTGCTTATAAAACCTCTTGGGATCCCCACTGTGCTTCAAGCCAGGATAGGTGTGGTCTATTCATTGGGGAGTTGCACATTACATAAAACGGCCTATGAATTTTATTTTTCCATAAAATCTAACTGTACAGCCTCCAATTTATCATTCTCTTCCATCTTCTTTTTAATTGAAAAGGTTACCTTGAGGGATGATTTAGCAGCGACAATTATTCCTGATGCAACCTGCCTGGATCTCTGCAGTTTCAACTTTGATATCCCGGTAATTGGTAGAACTGGATATTTTCAGTGGATGAGGCGGCTTCTAGTATTCCACATAAATCAGCACCCTCCTTTGTAAAAATCGTCTTCCATTCTGTAAAATTTGTCAGCAGTTAGGCCACCAACGTTCCAGAACATAGCCTTAAGCTGTGTGTTGACTGGGCCTTTTGGTTTCTTTAATTTTGATGGATTCATATTTTTATGGATTCTATGTTGTTGAACTGTCTTCGCGGCGACAATATTGGTCATTTAGTTAGGTACTTCTGGTCTAGAGGGCCGCTACTGACTGCTATCTGCCAATGTTTATAACCTGATCACTGATAAGTCCCATAACGCAGTGATAAGCCTTCTCCTACTTCACATCTTCGTATTATTGTATTAAATTCGTATTATTTAAAGTGTAAACAGATACAAAAACAAATGTAATAACAATAAAAATACTTGACGACAAATATATTAATGAAATAATAAATAAACACTTTAAGAAGATATGTACATATAAAATATCAAAATGAAATAAAAAAAAAAAAAACACACATTTAAAAGAACATATTTACATAGAAAAGAAAAATATAAAACATAAAATCTGTTTTATAAAAAGATAAAACATTCATCTGTTTCTCGGCAAACACCACCAAACTGCTGGGGTAAAACTCTCCCCACATGATTTTTTTGTTTAGAAAAAAGACTTTCTTCTTCTTCAACCACTTTGCCAGGTCCTCCAATTTTTTTTCTTGGCCTGTATAACATGTCATGGGCACAAACCTCTCTTAGACATTTGTTCCACGTTACCATTGCTCCGTAGGATAGTTTCAGCTGCTCTTTGCCCCACTTCATCGTTGCCAAGCTATGGGACCACCCATAAATCAATTTTAAAGCAGTTAAAAACGAAATCCTCGAGCCCTCCAACCATATTCCTTTCCTTATTCAAAGTTTTGTCATAAGTCCTACGAAAGCATCTCCATTTGGCCTTCCTGGTTAACTTCATTCGATGACCTCGTTCACACAATTTCACGTCGGCAAGTACCCCAACATTTTGAAAATATTGAATTGCCTGTTCTTCTGAAGGCGGCAAATCCCATATTCCAAGAAGATTCATAATATGACGAAAATAAACGGAAAAAAATGAAAAATAAACACAAAGGGGCCAAAAACTAAAAAAAAAAAATGTAAAATAAACCCAAACGGACCAAAAATTAAAAATAATGAAAAATAAACACAAACGGCCCAAAAGTAAAGAATTTAATAAGTGAACGTAATAAGGGAATAACTGAAAACTAAACAATGCAATAACTCAAAAGGTACTATTTCGCTGGCGCGGTCCACGACAGCGACCGCTATTCCACGCTGCCAACCGCTGTTGGCGTAGCTATTTCGCTGAAACTGCTCACTGGGGTTGTTATAACCTGCCTATAACCTTCAAACATTTCGCTGTATCTTCAAAGATAAAAAGATAGACATAATATAATAATAAAAATGAACATCCCTATAATAATTAACATCTCTGACTACCGCTTTTTTATTTGAGGAGGAAAAAGAAGAGAAAATGTTGTTCATAAAGAGAAGGAATATCAGTATTTCGATGTGATGCTCATCATCAAAGTCCCTCTGATATTAGATATTATTAGTTTGAAAAGTAATAGTAATTAATACATAATTGATTAGTAATAAATATCATATATTTGTAATTAAATCCCAGCAGGCGATGTTTTATAGTTTTATCAATAGTAATCAGTAAATCACCACTTTAATTAAAAAATACAAATCGATTTTTCAATATGTGGATTTTAGTATTTATCTGACAATAAAATTTGTTGGATTCTTTATTTCATTTAATATCGTTTGGATTTAGGTATATTTGTATTTCGTTGTAAAACATTGCTGGTGGAATAAATAAATAAATAATCTTGTTACTTCAACCATAAAAAAATAATTTACTATTGCATTGTTTCAGTTTTAAACGATATTTTTTATAATTTTGCCAGACTTGAAAGAAACATAGGAAATAAAGTGTATCGACGTGACTGTTATCATCAAAAAAATGCTCTGATATGATAACATAACCTACAACCGCCGAACCGCCAACAGCTCCACTGCTTCAAGAGGAGTCAGTACGAGCAGCTTAGATATGACGTCATACCTAGACTGCCGAGCAGCGCCAGCGAAATAGGTTCCTTTCTATTCCACTAAAGCAGTGGTCAACCGCGAGCAGTCGCGGTCGTGGACCGCGCCAGCGAAATAGTACCTAAAGGTTTGGAAGGGATAACAAGATGGAGGTTATGTGACGTGACGTTAGATAAGATAGATAAGTGAGATTTCAGTCCGGCCCCTAGAAGAGAAGTACCTTTAGTTATAACCCGAGGGCACGTGTAAAATGTACGGACGCGAGCAAAGTTACCCAATGTTTTTTTAAAAGCGTTTTAGTTTAAAGTTTTAACAGTTGTCACATATTAAATTGAAGTTTATAATTGTTTATCTCAGGTGTGGGTTACTGACAATCAGATCAAAACACACAGAAAAACTAATATTAATTAATTTACACTATTTATACTAAAATTACATTTTGGCCAGATGTAGTCTTTTAATAAGGTACTATTTTGTTATTCTAAAGGGCTTTTGTCTTAGAATAAAGTTATGTTCTATTTCTATTAGATTTTAATTATAAAATTAAACACTGATTTTAAATTAAAGTCAAGTATGAATTGGAAGGTAAAATTTTTTCTATAGATACTGTTTCTTCTTTTTTTGCACTAAATTCATTTGTCTCTTAACATTTTCCTAAGTTTTGTCAAACATATCTTTCAAAATGGTGACACTTTTTTCTATTCAAGTCAAGCTCCCTGGGAGATCCTCTCTCTTGTATTTTCAAACAACTAGTCTCTCTGCCAAACAATAACTTCTAAAATGGTAATACTATTACTGGGTTTTAACCGCTGGAGCCAGGATCCCATCCTCTCTTCACCCCAGCCAAACACCAACTGCTTGCCAAAACAAAATCTCTTGTTCCTTCTCCTCTTTTGGAATTTTCCTTTCTGGGGAAAACCACAGAGCAGCCATTTTCTTTTCCCTGAACTAGTAGAACTAGATTTGCTTGCCTTTTAATCGTTCAAAATTAATTTATTTAACCCTTTTTACTCACTTCCAATAAAGGTGTATATTACAACATAATCAACTTATAAAATGTAATATTTAATATTACTAACCATTATTATATTTAATCTATATATGATTATGTATTTATAAAAAACGTTTTTAATATCACAGCCTTTTACTTTAAATTTTTAAAAAATGCATGAACATTTAAAAATTATTATTTAATGTTTCACCTCCAAGAGCCATTTTCAAACATTTTTTTTCTTTTACTAAACATGTTTCCAGTACTGAAGGTATTCAAGTACTGGCAACTAGGTAGTATGTTAGTGGGAGGATCGGGGAAGGATTTGCCCAGATGTGCTTTTAAGATAACAAACTTAATGATAACATATCCGAGGGTTCTGGTAACATTATTCAATCATGGTATATAACAAGTGTCTCTAAAGTCTAGTGGCTTGCAACCTGTACTAAGGTTGTGAACGTACCCAGTTCAATACGGAGTTCGGCATATTCCTTTTTTTAGGGGCGGGGTGGCCGAATGGACTAAAGCGTGTGCACAGCAGCGCGACTTGCCCGGCAACCAGATAAATGAAGTTTTAAGAGTAATTATGATTAATTAAATTAGAAAAAGAAAGAGAAAAAAGCATACACCAAAATTAAATCCTAAATTTGCTGCTGTATATATAAAAAATAAACTTGACCCGATATTTGAAGAAAATTTTTCTCCAACTTTGAGCCTCCAATTTTTTTTAAATATTTATAATATCTTTATATTCCATAATCTTATTATACAGTTTCTAATATTAATAGATTTCAATTTTTAATGGACTGCACTAAAAATTAATGGACTAATTACTTAAATATGATATCAGATCTAGAGTTATTAAACTACAGTAAATATATTTAAGGTTATAAACGTATCCATGAAATATTTTTATATTTCACTTCTTCTTTCACACAAGTACAATGAAATAATATCTTAAACAATGTCATTGCCTTGAATCCGTGGGTTTTAAATACTTTCTTAAACTTTAAAAAAATTGTAAAAGTTTATACTTAGTAAGAAAATTTCATTTAATTTCCTTATATGTATTTATTTATAGGTTTTTCGCCACCCTTCCATACCTTCTACAATTTTCTATATTAGATATTGTTTTTTTCTAAAATTCTCCGCTTTTCAACGATATATTATACGTAAACATATGCTTTATAAATCCATGAAATGATTTTATATTTTACTTCATCATTTACAAAAGTGCAATGAAATTGTTTTTTTAGCAATTCCATTGTCTTGATTAGTTGAACTTTAAATACACTTTACAAACTTAATTACTTAAACATATTTTGTTAGTAAATTTTGTTTAATTTCCGGGAAAACATGTGATTTATGTTAAATATTATTAATTTTCAAGAATTGTTACATATTTTACGTATATATTATATATTATATATTATACCTATACCTTCTGACTAGTATTTCCGGGGATTCATTTTCGACCAGGATAAGCATTTTTATTTTTTTCTCCTTAATTCAATTATCAAATTTTTTCAAATATTTATAGTATTTCTTTTCGTAACTTTTAATAATGAGCGTGTTAATTATTTGAAATGAACCATATTAAAGGAACTTTAGAGGAAGACGTATATGAACATTAGGCATTTAAGCCCTGTAAAGTGACATAAATGGGGATAAGACCTAAATGATATTTGTTTTTATTGAAAAATCTGAAAATCTATAATCATACAATGATACACCGAGTTTAATCAAAATCGGTAGAACCATTTCTGAGAAAATTGTAAAAATATGTTTCAGCGATGATATAAAGTGGCACTTCAGGTTAGCCGATTTTAAGGAAAAAGTTGCTAGGACATCTAAGGCATATACCTATCTTAAATACGTAATATCAGTTTCGTACGACTTTTGGTTTTCGAGCTAGTGTGTTCACATACACACAGACACAACGCCTATTTTTCGGGACTTGGTTATTTGGACTCGGTCCAAATCAGGTCTCAAAACGTGTATTTCCGTTGAAATCTCAGACTCGAAAATTTTCACGATTGCAATATTTACGCTTACTACATATTACATATATAGGTAAGTGGAAGTAATAAATAAAACTTTTCCATCAAATCAACAAATCGATGATATGGGGAAAAAAGAAACACTGTAGTTCTAGAGAATAAAATACTTACGATCCTCAATGTCACCAAAATATTTTGTGAAGCAGTTTTTCATATTGTTTTCATATTCCTCTTGTTTCTCTTTTGTTTCAAGTTCTCTCTTGTGTTTGCAACACATTTGGATCTGTTCAAAACAATAAAAAGTGTTTTAGAAATAATTACTATGCAGAATTTAATATATTTTTGGACATAATATTAAGGAAATGTAAATGGATCACTAACATCATACTTAAATAAATATGTATAAAATAAAAAATATTTTCCTTGATTTCTATTTCTTCCAATGAACAAGTTATTTCATCTCCTCTTTCTAAAACATTAAGGCCTAGAATAAAACAAATTCCTGAAGAGATTTTGTTTTGCATTGGCTTTTCATATAATACTCTAAAAACTGAAAATGAATTAATCTATTCCCTCTTAGGTCTGATAGATGCAGATTTTAAGTTATAGTGTTAGGCATAATTTAAAAACTGTTAACCACTTATCATTGCTTTAAAGGATAATTGATTTAGCATTGGCCCATGTTCATGGATTAATTAGATTCTGCTCGAATCATTAATCCTTATAACATGGTAGGCCCGACTCCCTACCATGCACCTCTCCCTCCCCTCCCACCACATCCCTATAAATTGCATATCGTTGTTTTCCTTGTAATTATTTATCTTAAAAAAGCCAATGTGAACGTACTGCCCCAAAATGGCGTCTAAACATGGCGGACTGAATTTAGTTAGTCACTGAGGATCATAATTTGACTTAATTTCGCCATAGTTGTTGTTTTATTAAAGCTGGATAGTCAGAGAATAATAAAACATGAAAAAATAATTGGCTTAGGCAATGAAAGACAGCAGTAAAGTTGAAAATCAAGGTTGGTTTGTAATCAAACGGCCAACAATAACCCAAAACGTGATGAAATAAAACATCTGGAGAATATATATCTCTTTCCAAAACACTGATTACTTTTTCAAATATTTGTAGCAGTTCCGTAGAAAATGCACATAAGCGGCAGAAACTGGCATAAGTGCCTACAGGCTTCTACCACACCAATCAGTATTCATAAACGGCTTAGTTATAGTGATATAATAACGTTTTTGGTAGATTGTATTAACGAACAAAAAGTAAACAATTTGATTTTAATTTATTACTATTACTTTTTTTAAAATTTAACTTCCATTATTCTATGCGGAGGTCGTTTAATAAGACCTCAATTATTAAAATATGAAATATGAGACTCACTTATTAGAAGAAGAGTACCTGCAAACTTGGTGAGTGCTATTAAATCTATATACCTAGACCCAAAGGGTATAATAAGGCTCAATAGACATACATCAGAACCTTTGCACTTACATAAAGGAGTAAAGCACGGAGATAGTCTTAGTCTTCTGCTTTTTATCCTTCTCATGGATGAAATTTTGAAAGTGTGTAAAAGAAGTATCCCAAGAACTGTTGTGGGATATTGGAATTTGACACCAGTGTTGGTTCAAGCTATGTTATATACCGACGACATAATCCTTATAGCGGACTCACAAGAGGCTCTTATAGACATCATTAGTTGAGTGGAAAGAAGAATTGAAGCTACGAGGACTGTTTATAAACCCGTCTAAGAGCAAGGTTATATGCATTGGAAAAGATATTGCGGAGCCTATGATGTTAAATAATGGCGAACACCTAGAGATAACAAATGCATACACGTACCTGGGAACAATCCTCAATGAAGATGGCAAAATAGACCAGGACGTACTAAATCTAGCGATGAAGGCCAATGAAATATATTATCAGATAGCCACAACAATCATTAGCAAAGGGGAAGTAAGCAGAAAGGCAAAATTCACGATAAATGGGGCGGTGTTCCTCCCAGTGCTTCTGTCTGGACTAAGTAAATGAGGTTTATTTTGATGAAAACAACATTATTTTCGATTGCTAATGAAGTTACACATTGGGACTATCTTCACTTTGAAGCAGATTATCGACAGGTCTGTCGTGAAAGGGAAGTAGCTCTCCTTCAGTTTAGTGAATTTGCAAAAGATTTTTAAAGGAATCTAAAAGGAAAACGAGCTTTTTCTGAAAGACAATTAGATATTAGCACTGGCAGTGATTGTGATAGTGATTGGTGATAACGTATTGGTTCTCCAAAGTATTGTGTTTAGACTTGTGACTGGTGTATTTATACTTATTTTGTTATTGTTCGTGTTCTAGTGTTTTCCAATTTACTGTTCATTATGTTTTCTTGTTCTTTTTTTTGAGTTTTCTTTTGTAAATAAGTTTTTAGTTTTAAGTAAGGTTAAGTGGAACTACGAGTTCGTAATCTTCTCGTAGTTGAAGACTTTCTGGACTTAAATCGTTCCTACGAGAGCTAAAACTTATAACAGAGAACTTGTATACAAGTTTCATTGGACAATAATAGAAAGGTAACTTTCATTTAATAAACGTAGCTAGTTAACCTCTAAACTGTAGTGTACTATAAACTGAAATCATTTGTAGTGTTTACTACTTTCTTACAGTATGGTTGACCCAATTGTTATTGATATGGAAGAGGAGAGTTCCCAAAAGGTTTCCAAGCGAAATGCCAAACGGGCAAGAAAGGGTTCTCTTGATTTGGAGGCAAACTCGGAGGAGGCTGCAGCTAAAAGTTTACTACAATCGGCCTTACAAATCCAGGAGAATCTTAGGGTTTATGTTCAACGGGCAGATAATGGGTTGAATATCAAGGTACAAAATTATATAAGTAGAAAAATTCTAACCTTGATAGATATAATTGAAACCCTAGACGACAAAAGTAAAAAGGCACACACAAATGAAGACGTTTCTGAGCTCATCCAAAAAGCGGTTCATGAATCACTTACGACTCCTAGCATTCATGAGATGATTGCTCGACTTGTAATAGAAAAAACGGTGCCCAAAATTATTGAGGGACTAACGGCAGCTCGAGTGGAACCACAACCACAAATCTTAGCCAAAGCCGGTCACTCAAGTGAAGCGCAAGCAGATATCAGAGAAGCAAGCCCGGCTGGACCCTCAGCGGCTACTGAACCCTACAAAGTCGTAGTCAGTAAAAGAAGCCGCAGGAGGACCAAAGCAGCTAACAAGGCAGCTAGTAATCTAAATAACCTGAATGAGCCGACCAGTCATGTCTCTGCTGAAGATTCAGCCCAATTACAAAGTAAGCCTCGGACAATGGCAGATATTGTAAAATCTCTGCCATTGAAGCCGGCAGAGATATCTAACTCTAAACCTACCTACGTCACAATTAGTGGGCCCGGTAAAAGTCCCGTGGAAATCATCAGTGGGCTGCCATCTCCTACTGAAATAGGAGTTAATGCCTCCATAGTACGTGCTACTAAGGGAGGCTCGGTCTTAGTTCGGATGGAAGATAGCTCCCAAGCGGCGAAAGTTATTGGGTGGCAGGGTCTACGAGAAGTAGGACTAGAGGCCAAGCTTGCACTTAAGAAAAGACCTAGGCTTGAAATTAAAGGTGTACCCAATTCGTGGACTGCGGAGGCATTAATTACGTTTTTACGGGCAAAGCTAATTGATAAATCGATCCCAGCTTCACTCGTGAACGATGGACTTCGGCCTGTTTTCTCATTTACAGCAAGGAATGGAATAACTAAAAACTGGGTGCTGGAAGTGCACCCAACCCTACGATTCCATCTATTAGACATGGCATGCTTGAATGGAGGATGGTGGTCAATGACCTTTGAAGATAGCCTCGACGCCCCCCGTTGTACCAAGTGTCAGGACTACGGGCACTCTAAGGCCACATGTCCATCAGATGCACTGGTCTGCATCTGGTGTGCAGGTACTGGTCATTTTCTCAAGGAGTGCCCCAAAAAACTAGCTCAGGCAGGGCCGACATGCATCAACTGTGTGAGGGCAAAGGCCCATCCCAGGCACACTAAGCATAAGGCGGGCAGTCGTGATTGTCCTGTGCATTTAAATTGGTCACAAAAAATGGCGATGAGGACTTCTTATGAATAAGATCTCCATCCTTCAGCTCAATATGGGCCGCCGGCGTCTAGTTGCGGAAGAGCTACGCGCCCTCTCACAAAGCTACGACATCATGGCAGTCCAGGAATCGAGTTGCTGGGGAAACAAGGTCACGGGGTTTGGTCTCACATCGAGGGTTATAGCCTTGAGCAGTGGAGAGAGGAGGCCCAGGGCTGCTATTGTGGTTAACAACCCCAACCTCGATGTGATGGATCTGAGGCAGTTTACCATGGCGGATTGTGTTGCTTGTCATATCAGATGGAACCATGTTGCCTTTACGCTGGTCTCATCATATTTACCGGACGGGGGCGATATTGACGAAGACATATCCGCCATGGAGATGATCACGGCTTGCACCAGGGTATATGCTCAGATACCAACTCCTGGAACACGGTCTGGGGATCTAATCGAACTAATAGAAGGGGCGCTAAGCTCGGTGAATTTATTGCCCGAAACCACCTAGTGGTTATGAACGATCCCTCTGCTACCCCGACGTTCTCTAGCGCTAGGGGGCAGAGCTGGATTGATGTTACATTGGTATCACCGGTGCTGGCAAACCGCATTATCGATTGGGTCCTCCGATCTGAGACGAGTTCCGACCACCAAGCGATAGCCTTTAGGCTGACGGAAAATACAGAAGTCTCCCATGGAATAGAAAAAGGTTACCTTACTCAAAAAGGAAATTGGAGTGCCTTCCGGCCATTGCTGGAGGGAAAACTGGTCGACGAAGACTGGGATGAGGCGGAAACGGAGCAAACAGATGATCTGAATTACCCAGTATCCAGGATCACTGATGTCATCCGCGATACCGCTGAAGAATCCCTTCAGCACCGGAAGGCGAGAGCTCGACCTGTCCCATGGTGGACGCCTGCCTTAACCACAATGAAGAGAGAACTCTACAAGGCACGGCGTTCATACCAGAAGTGTACTTGCGAAGAGAGGCGCATTACACTTCGTGATGAGTACAAGTCTAAAGCCAGGGCATACCGAAACGAGGTGCGGTTAAGAAAGCGGAAGTCTTGGGACGAATTCATTGTTCAAGAGTCATCTAAGAATCTCTGGGGTGTACCTTACAGAGTGGCCCTTGGTAAGTTTGCTCCACAGCAAGTGATTGCAGCTTTGAAGCGCGGATGTTCCCAGGCAACCACTCTGGAAGAGACTGCAAAGATGTTCCTAGCTGAGACCTACCCCAGAGATGATTCGTCCCAGGATAATGAAGAGGAAATATTTATAAGACGCACTACGGTATGCCCACCTGGTACGGACTTGTGCCCGCCGTGGGACATATGGGATCTACGTGCTGCTGTGGAAAGGCAAAAGACTGGACGTGCACCTGGGTTAGACTCCATTGACGCAGCAATCCTCAGGAACAGTATCCCCTATATTGAACAGAGACTGTTGACATTATTCAATGATTGTCTAGACAGGGGATACTTTCCTAAGAGTTGGAAAATTGCTGATGTCAGACTCCTCTACAAGGGAGGAGGCAAGGACAAGCAATTAGCCAAATCTTATAGGCCTATATGCCTCCTCCCTATCATGAGTAAATTATTGGAGACCCTGTTGATGATGAGTCTACGACCAGTCTTCTCTAGGGCTAGCCATCCACGGCAGTACGGATCCACTAAAGGCAGGGGAACCGCAGATGCCCTGCTGAGAGTGCGCCGTGACGTTGAAGAGAAGGCGGAGAAGTATGTCATGCTTATCCTGTTCGACATATCTTCCGCCTTTGATAGCGTCTGGTGGCCGAGCGTACTCCAGTAGTTGCAGAAGTATGAGGCTCCCAGCAACTTATATGACCTTTTAAGGAGCTACCTCCAGGACCGAACATTGAAGATAAAAGGTAGCTTCTTTGAAGTACAAGAGTCGATGGAAAGAGGTTGTCCGCAGGACTCGGTTCTTGGACCAGCCCTGTGGAAATTAGTCTTCGATGAGTTGCTGGGGGTACTAGAACAGGAGCGGTTCCCCGCCACGGCCTATGTTGATGATCTGGCCGTTGTAGTGGCCTCAAACAGCAGAACCAGGTTAAAAGAAGAAGCTGAACGATGTGCCAACCTCGTAGGAGGATGTTGCGAGAGAAAAAAGATGAAGATGGCGGCTGCTAAGACACAGTCCATTCTTTTAAGAGGTAAGACTGACAGGGCCCACCCTATTACTCTCAGTATAGAAGGAGAGAGGATACGTCCAAGTGAGGCTGTTACATACCTTGGCATAAGAATTGGGAGAAATTTCAACGTTACACCTCACTTGGACTACATGAAAAGTAGGGTGGCCCTGGCTCTCAATGGACTTAGTCGCATCAGGGGCGCCTTTTGGGGTCTCAGGTACCCAGCCACGTTGACTATTTATAAAGGAGTTATTCTGGGCATCCTGAGATATGCGTCCCCTGCGTGGAGTCATCATCTCTCGCACCAACAGAAGAAAAGGTTGGCAACAATCCAGCGGATGGCTCTGCTGCGGGTCACTAGAGCGTACCGTTCAGTGTCTCATGAGGCGGTACAAGTCTTAGCCGGAACTACTCCTATTGATCTTCTCCTACGAGAAGAATACTTCCGGCATAAGATGAAGAGGGAAGGCCTGGTGGATCTACCGGCGAATCTTCGTGTGAGGATCAGTGAAGACCCTAATGGATGGAAGAGGATTCTTCGGGAGAACACATCAAAGGAATGGAACCAGCGGTGGGTGACGACGCCAAAAGGGGCTACGCTAAGAAAATACTTTCCCACTGTTGGTTCAATAATGGAACAGACATGGGTTCTCCCGGACTACTGGGTCTCACAGTTCCTCACAGGGCATGGGGGTTTCCGAGCAAAGCTCGTTGAATATGGCAAGAACATCGATCCCCTATGCCCAAGTTGCAGAGTGCCGGAGACCGCCGAGCATATCATCCTAGTCTGTACCGCCTTTGAGGCACTCAGGGCTAAGTTGTTGAGAGAGACGGGGCTCTACTCTCTGACGGAGAGCGATCTCCCTCAACTTATGACAAAGGAAAAATACCCGTATTACAAGGCATTCGTATACGGGTGGAAGGAACTGGTTGGGTCAAACCACTTTTCATTGGGAAGAAGAAATGAACCTGTATACGGAAGACCGCCAGAGGAACAGGATGCTGGATAAAAAGAAAAAAAAGAGCAGGCTGTGTGCACAGCTGTAAAAAATGTAATTGGTCTGAATGCAGCAGTGAAGTGTAACGCATGCGTTGCTACTCACTACTGCATAACACCCGTATTGCCTTATCGGCAGGGTAGGGTGTAAATAAAATAAAATAATAAAAATAGATATTAGCACAATCCAAAGTGTGAGACACTAAGCAGATAGAGAACTATTTTTCTTTCTAAATGGACTTCTCTATGATTTTTCCAATTTTTGGGTTCAATTTCACGTTTTTTCCCATTTTGATACCAAATTGTAACCATCAGTTACGGTTACCTAGAAGAACATATAGTTTCGCCCTTTGTGTCCTTTATGCATAGATAATAATGCATTCAATATTAAAATTTCCTATTTTTTTTATAATTAGGTCCAAGTTCCGAACAAAATAAAGGAAATAAAAAATAATTATTTTATTGGTGGTATATGAGTTTTACTAAGCAGCCCATCGGCTATTCATTATATGTAGTTCAGAGAAGGTTTATATTATTGTAGTTTATAAAACAGTATGACTCATTTTCGGAAAAGTATATATAATTTAAATTACCGAATCATTTAATCGGTAATAATCAATAATAATAATCGATAAATTAAATTAAAGAATCAATAAATGTACTAAACAAAGTTTTAAATTGTAAAAGTTAAATAAAAAATTCAAGATATTGATAAAAGTATTCTTGAATTAAGTTTTATAATTATAATTATATCATTTTTACAACAGAGTGCTTCTCAAACGACCTCCGTAGATTATAAAGGAAGTTAAATTAAAAACAAATAACAATAGTAAATTAAAAAAAAAATGTTTACTTTTCTTGGACAATTAAATTATTGCATTAATATTTGTTTTATACTCCATATGGATGATTAGCCCAGAGATGGAGGCTTCTTACCTAGCAACAACGGGTTGCCCGCTATACTCCCGGCATTGAATCTTCTTAAGTGCATTTTCTACGGAACTTCAAATGTTTTAAATATTAATCAGTGTTTTCGAAAGAGAAATATATTCTCAAGATGTTTTAGTTTGTCACATTTTGCGTTATTGTTGGCCGTTTAATTACAACCGACTCTTGATTTTCAACTTGAAAATTCTTTTATTTAAAAAATAGACTTTACAGCTGTTTTTCATTGTCTAGGCCAATTATTTTTTAATATTTTATCATTCTCTGAACAGTTTTGATAAAAAACCAACTATGACGAAATTAAGCCATTGTACGTGTAATTAAATTTAATAGGACTTCAAGAACCACATAAACACCATTGCATAGGGGTAGGTAATTTTTTTTAAAAATTATTTATCATTATGTATATATATATATATATATATATATATATATATATATATGAAAAAAAATATTTTGGGCTGAAGCCTCCCCCACCCTCTTAAAATTAAATCCTGGATCCGCTAGTGCCAATTAGTGCTTAACTGGTTTATAAAATTTTACATCATTCTCAACTTTATTTTTTTTTTAACTGGTTTAGTGAAAAATATTACAATCTGTCTCAAAGGACATTTATAATAATGTTCAGAGATCACATTCATACACTATCTACAATAAATTAAATAAATTGTACAGAAAAATAATATATATATATACAATACATAAGAATAAAATAACCTAAAAAATAAATTTGAAAAAACACATACATACATATATGACATATATGTACTATTTACAATTAGGCGAGAAAAATTCGGGTCAGACTTGTTCCTCCAACTGTTGAGAAAAAAGCTTGACTCCAGGAGATCCCTGCATTCTCTCTCGACCGCATCGCTGGGGCTAAACCCAGAGGAGATTGAGCGAGGGTGCTTTAGCCACATACACTCATGTCGTGATTGGAGAATGTGACCATTGCCAGAACTCAAATATTTACAAATTATAAAAGGTCGCGTGGACACTACCTTTTTTAACCTTCTTGGAGGATTATAGGGATGGGTGTTGGATAGGGATTGTGCAAAGGGATTCGGAAAATAGTTAAGGTTCTGGTGAAATTGGGAGAATTGTTGTGGGTTGAGGTCTAGGACAAATGGGATATTAATGTCATAATGTAGGGTTTTGTTGGTTGCATAGAAAGGAGCATCGACTGTTGTTAGGACTTTGGGCTGGAAGGATCGGTTGCATTTGATGTTAGAAAATGTTGCTGTTCCCCACAGTTCAGGTCCGTAAGTCCAATAGGTTTCAATATTGCCGAGTAGATAAGTTTTTTTATTTTCAATAGAAAGTTTAGATTTTCTATTTAGTCGTCTGTATAGTTGGCAGTATCGTCGGTTAAGTTCTTGTCTTTGAAGTCTAGTATGAGGGTTCCACGTTAGTTGTCTGTCTAACAGAAAGCCAAGATATCGGAATGTGCCCAAGAAAGGAAGGTGGATGGAATTAAAGTGTACTGGTGGACATGAACTGCGTCGGAATGTGAAGGTAATGTGTTGGCATTTACATTCATTTACTTTAACACGCCATTTATTACACCAGTGCTCAATCAGGGAGAGATGTCTTTGAAGGTTTAAAGATGCAATATCAGGATCTGAGTCGGATGATAGAATAGCGGTGTCATCATCAAACGTTGGCAGGAAGGTATTGGGATGGACAGCGGTAAAAAGGATGTAAAGGACGGGACCCCATACGCTACCTTGAGAAACGTTTATGTGGTACAATAACTTTTAATCTTTATAAATTTCTTTATCGATTGTTTGTTTACTAAATAAGATAAAGAAAAATAGATCGAGAGATATGCTATCGAATACTTACACCTTCCCCTCCAGTGACATTGCATTCCTCTGGTGTTGCAGCAACAAAACCTACAAACTAGAAAAAGTAAAGTTAGGATATGGCCAAAACAGCTGAAACTTATTTCTGATTCCTAAAGTATTTAAGACAAGGACATACACAGTTTTCAAATTAGTAGGAAAGACAAGATTGAAAATATTTTTCGGAAATGTTTACTATCCAGCCTCCCATAAAAATCTCAACCTTTCGCCGCCGGCGCAAATCTGCACCTTTGATGTGCCAAGAAATTAAGGATCTGCAGAAGAGGCGTGATGCTGCCCGTAGACGCTTTAGACGTACTAGGCTTACAGATGATTATCAAGCGTTTAGGGTGCTCCGCAACTTGACACAAACAAGAATTTGGCGAGCTAAAGCTTCCTACTTCCATGAAGCCCTCTCATCTGCTCCAGACCCCAAATCTAAATGGCTAATCCTTCGCAAACTTTCCCTCTGTGAGCCGTCCAGATCTCCTTCCTCACTGGTCTTTCCCGTTTCACCTGACGATTTAAATGCACATTTTATTTCTGCCTCCTCTACCTCTTCTTTTCCCGTCTCTTCCAACTTTGCTCCTGAATCATCATTTAATGATGATGACTTTTATTTCTCCGACATTTCCCCGACTGACTAATTAACCGCAGTAATGAAATCCCACACCAATTCCATAGGACCAGGGAATGGCATTCCCGTCAAATTGATAAAATTGTCTCCCCGAAATCCTCCCAGTTCTCCTTTTCATCTACAATTTCTCCCTACAGAACTCAATATTCCCTATCTCTTGGAAAAAAAGACATTGTACTCCCTTTAAATAAAAAGCCTAATCCATCCTCTCCCGATGACTTTCGCCCAATCTCAATTCTTTCCAATCTCTCAAAACCCCTAGAAAGATTGGTGCAATACCAAGTTTCCAATTTCCTCGAAAAGTCCAACCAACTTGATCCTTTCCAATCTGGTTTCCGTCCCGGCTACTCCACACAATCTGCCTTGATCAAAATCACCAATGATGTTCAGACTGCAATAAATAATAACAATTAAGGATTATTTCACACTTACCCGGCAGCCGGGTAAACGACGCCGTGCACACTGCGTTCTTGAGAGAGGGTAATAGGGAGCTTTCACAATAACCCGATTTTTGTCGTTGTCGTTTAATCAACACGAAATTGTCGTGTTGCTGTTTATCCGACATAGTCGTTGCCAGTTAAACGACAATTCAGTTTCACACTTACCCGACTGTCGTTTAAACGATGCCAGATACCAGTATCGAAACTGAAACTAATAGGCACCTTTCACACTAGTCAAGCAATAGTCGTTGTCGTTTAAACCGCACTAGTTGCCGTGCTAATGTCGTCCTAATGACAAATGACTATCTTGATTTGCCGGATAAACGGCAAGACGGCAGTCGTGCTAGTGTTCTGAGTACCCGGCAACGTTTGGACGACTGCCGGTGTCGTGTAAATCACTGCTCTTATCAGTGCAGTACAAATCTAACCTATATATACTGCGATAAAACGAATAGGTATATTGTTCGCTGTGTGTAAATTATTTTCCATTAGATGTTTAATTTATTTTTATAATAAATTACATCGAAAATTAATATAAATAAGATTGTATTTGTTCTCCCTGAAATTTTATTAAAGCTGCTTTTAAAAAATAATAAAATTAAAGGTTTTTGTAATCTTGACTTTATGATATCAAATTGTAAACATTTTGGAAATTTAATAATCGGTGTAATATCCTATGTTGCGCACTAATTCTCTGCACCTATTGAGCATACTGTTTATAATATTGTCACCGATTTCACAAGGAATTTCATCCCATATACATAACAATACTGCTTTCAGTTGCTGAAATTCAAGAAAGCACAAACTGTGGTAGTGCACTCGTCCCCAATTCTCAGTATAAAATGTAATAAAGAACATTGCAGCATTGTTTGTAAACATTGCAGCATTCTAATTTGTATCGTCATCTACGAATATGCTGCACCATAGTCTGTGGAGTTGTCGACGATCCACTGTTGCTGTATGCCATTATAAAGGGGCATAAGATATTAGATAAACTTCCCACAAAAAATTGAGAACGGTTTGTGTTGGTATGGGGCTAGACAGAACATTCAACACTTCATTTAGACTCTATTGGAGACTGTAAAAGGTTTGGTTCTTGCAGTAATACCAATATTTCTGCCATCACTTAGAGATTAATGTACTAAGATCCTCATCCACTAACAGGTCTCCAATTAATACTTCCAGTTTTTCTAAATCTGGTTAAAGCTGGTTAAAGCATAAAACATCAATATGGGAGACGGCAACTACATGGGGGTATTCACCACCGATGCCCTTGACAGCTCTGGTTCAATATGATGTATTTTCTTCATTAAACAGAATATTGCTGTATTAAAATTGAGAAAAGTTGAAAACAACTGTTGGTTTACAAAAAGAGTATTCTTCATGTTAACTATATTTTATTTAGTACTTTACTAAAAATGGAAAATACTTGTTGACTTTTTATGTATACCAACAGATAAGAGAATCCTTAACGAACAAAAAAAAAGGATATTTATAAAAAAACAAACCAAATAAGCAAGAAATAGAAGTATCCCTATTTATTTTTGCCAATTATATATATTTTTTTTTTTTCTCCACTGCAATAAACCTACGGAAGAGGCATATATGCCGCAAAAAATAAAAAATAAATAGAAAAGTGCATACATAATGCAAAAACATCACATCGATGTTAGAAAACTATTTTTATAAATAAATTGATACAAAATATATTGTTGTACAAGATTTAATTAATATGTAGGAGTTATTAATAGTTTGTTTGTTTGTTTATTTAGGCTTTAAGGCTTAAAACCCTAGGGTCATCAACGCCTGTGAGTGGGTTATATTTGTAAACTATTTAGAGGAGAATTAATAATTATTAATATATAGAGTAATAAATTAAAAAGATATTCAAAAACATATGAAAAATAAAATATATCAAATCAAATATAAAGAAGACAGAACAATAAAATAAAAATTATATTTATTTTTATATTCTATTATAATAGCCTATGCATTCTAAGAAACTTTATCACTTTTTTTATGGCGGATTCGTTGTTGCTTAATACTGCTGATATCTCCGGTTTTAGAGATAATTGATTTAGGCATGGAGTATAATTAGTGTATTCTTGGAAAATATGATTGATAGTGAGAAGGCTATTGCAGTGCTGACAAATTGGTGGTGGCTGCTTAGTGATGAGATGTACATGGGTTAGGTTCGTGTGTCCTATTCTTAACCTGGTCACGGCGAATTCCACTCTACGATTAGAGCGATTTGATGTGCTCCAGGGTTTCACCGATTTTCTTATAACTTTTAATTTGCCAGGTGGGCTTTCGTTCCACATAGATTGCCAACTATCCAGTATTTCCTTTTTGAGAGGAGAACTCATTTTTGGAGGGGTCAGGATAGGAGTACCTTGGTCAGGGAGCACAGGTGCCTGTTTGGCTGCCGTATCCGCAAGCTCATTACCAACTATACCCACCTGACTGGGAACCCATATAAAACAAACTGATTTTCCTAAATTTTTCAGAGTGTGAAGATATTTGTGTATTTTAAGGATAACTGGATGTTTTGAGTACATATCATTTAAACCCTTTAATGAACTCAAGGAGTCGGTTATCAAGACTATCGAGGATGGAGTTATTGACATACAGAAGTGGAGGGCTGAGGCTATTGCGTGAAGTTCCGCTGTGTATATGCTGCTTAGTTTATGTAGTTTTATTTTATGTGTGGAGTTGTGGGTAATAAACGAACAAGCTGTAGCATCATCTGATTTGGGACCATCAGTGTAAATTAAAAATGGTTCCGGAATATTTTGTAGTAGAAGGGAAAATTCGGTTTTGTATTCGTAAGGTGAGGTATTGTTTTAGAGTAATCGAGTGAGACGGAGCATCATTTTTGGAGGTTTGTGGATCTACGGTGGGTTTTGGTTTTCGATATTGTATAAAGGTTCTTAAGGTATTGAGCTGCTGAATACGAAACGCGCCAGTCGCTATCCTAATGCCTGTATGGTGGACTATATTAAGTTTGTTTAGGATCCGATAGCGGGCAAAACCGTATATAAAGCACCCGTAGTCTAATTTGGAACATACCAAAACTTGATACAGTTTTATTAGCGTAAGTCTGTCTGACCCCCAGGAAGAGCCGCTTAGATATCGTAAGGTAGTCATTCTTTTTGTGGTGGCTGTTTTTAGTGCAGAAATGTGCGGCTCCCTAGTTAGTCTTCGGTCAAAGATCATACCCAAGAATCTATGGTGCTTCGAGTACGGGATTATGGAATTTCCGAGGTAGATATTGGGTGAGTTTGGCGTGTTTCTTTTTCGACTGAAATGTATGCATTTAGTTTTTGCGGAAGAAAATTGGAGACCAATAGAAAGAGACCAGTTGTTGATTATATTGACAGCGTCCTGTAGTTTGTTTCGTATAGTGTCAATGTTGCCAGATCGGCAGATGGCTAGATCATCTGCGAATAGAAGTGGTTTGACACCTCTTGGTAAGTTAAGGCCTAAGTCATTTATCGCCAGACAGAACAAAGTTGGACTGAGGACACAACCTTGAGGGACACCGTTGAACTGTTCATGATTCTCGGATAATTCGCCTTTTATCTGAACTCTAAAGTGTCGGTGCGTGAGAAATTACCTAATATAGTTGTACATTTGGCCTCTAATTCCTACGGATGATAATTTATTGAGGATTATGGAGTGATTTATATTATCAAAAGCTTTTTTCATATCGAAAAAATGGCTATTGTTTGTTGTGCGTTGATAAAAGTATATTGCTTCTCGGTTTCTAATGCAACTAAATGATCTAATGTGCATCGACCCTTACGGAATCCCGATTGAAAGGGTTGAATTAAATTGTTGTTCTCTATTATCCACATTAGTCTTTTATTAATCATCCGCAGCTTAAGCAGCTTGTGAGAAATATAGGGCGATAGCTGGTTGGTAAACGTTTATCATTTTCGCTTTTCAGGATAGGGATGACAGCTGAATCACGCCATTTAT